GGGTAGCAGTGATGAGGATGTACTAGGGCTTCCTGGAACCAAGGATTTGGATGGTTTTTCACCCCTGCATCTTTTCTTACCAGGTGTGACATTCACAGTATTGGCTCTTGCTAAACTTCATTATTTCATTTTTTTTTTTTTTTTGGTGGTACTAAGGATTGAACCAGGACCTTGTTTATTACTAAAGTTTTTTAGATAGGATCTAAGGTGGTTAAGCTTTTTAATAATCTCTACTCCTTACTAGTGTTATCATGGGAGTCTATCATACATTTTTTTGGAGGGGGGTATGGGGTGGGGGTCAAAATCAGGACCTTGTGCTTGTGAGACAGGTGTAGCACCACTGAGCTAAATCCCTGGCCCTATCATACATTTTTTTGAAACAAGGTATCGCTGTGTAGTCCAGGCTGGACTTAAATTTTTGATGATTCACCTGCCTCAGCCTCCAGAGTGCTGGGATTACAGGTGTGCACCACCACGCCCAGCTATCAATGTATTTAGTACTGTGTAGTTTGATAAACTAATATAGTTGCTATAAGGAGATGGCCAATATATATTTTTTACTGGTCCCTTGAAATACACTGTAAAACTGTAAGAGGGCAGGAGCCATAGAAGTATTGCTCATTATTGTATCTGTGTGTTTAGTATCATACATGAGTGGATAAGTGTCTTTGAGACTCTGATTTCAATTCTTTTGTGCATATAATCTCAAGTAGAGTTCTGGGATGATATGATAGTTCTATAATACATTTTACAAAGCAAGCAAAATATGTTTATTTAATACTCATTCCAATGGATCAACCAGAGACTGAATTTTTTTTTTTTTTTTTTTTTTTTTTTTTTTTTTTTTTGAGATAGGGTCTCACTATGTAGTTGAGACTGACCTGGAACTCATTATGTAGCCCAGGCTGGTCTCAACTCAGAGAAATCCTCCTGCCTCAGCCTCCCGAGTGCTGGGATTATTACCTATTTGAAAATGTTGTTGTCTGTCTGATTCAGGGGAGGCAGAATTTCCTTTATCACCAGGTATCACGAGGGTCATCAGGTACTGCTGTAGCCTCTTGCCTACAGGACCCCAGTCATTTCCCCACTGGGCTCAGCTCCTTTATGGTCAGAAGGGACAAAGGCCGCTGGGTCTCACAGTTTTGGGAGGTCATCTGTTTTTGTGTGGTTTGTTTAGGCTGGCTTTGAATCTAGGCTGGCCTCCAGTTTGAGGCATTCCTCCTGCCTCAGCCTTCTGAGGGGAAGTAGAGGTGTGTACCACCATGACTGGCCTATATTGAATCTTTTAAGGAATCTCCATATGGATTTCTCATAGAAACTTGTACCGTGATCTTCAGATTAAACTATAAATTAACAGAATTAGACTGTGTGTTACAGCTTGTGAAGATACCTGTTCAAAGTAAATTTAATACATGAAACTTCAGACCTAGATATTTCTGTGCCATCCTAGGTGTCTAAAACAACCTTTGCCTGATTTTTGAAATTAGCAAAACAATAGTAAGACCTATATAGTATTTATAGATATGTCAGTTAGCTTCATTATGTGTAATATACTTTGCCAAAAATGTTCTTAAATGTGTTCTATTTGAAATAATTCCAAGAAGCTTCTGAGATGGTTCCTAATAGAATGAAATAAATAAATGATAATAAAGAAGTTCAGTGTCAGGTGAGGTGGCATATACCAGTAATCTCAGCTGCTTGGGAGGCTGAGGCAGGAGGGTTGCAAGTTGGATGGCCATCCTGGGCAGCTTAGTGAGACCCTGACTCTGGATAAAGTAAAAAGGGTTAGGGATGGAGCTCAGTGGTATAGCACTTACCTATTATGCATGAAGCTCTAGATTCCTTGAATAGTACTGCCAAAAAGTAAATAAATTTATATCTGATAGAATACATGCATTGCTGTCATAGTTAAATAGCAAGATGAACTCCTACCTTGTTTCTTCCCAGTGGAATTAGGGAATATTAGGCCTTCCTTTCATGAGAAAGTAAGTTATTAAATTACTCATTATGATTTGTGGGAAATAAGAATTATAATGCCGAGAGTCACTTAGTTGCCAATTTATTCAAGTACGGTTTTGAATCTTCATTGGATGTTGATTCAAGTGTAAAAGGCAATAGTACCATACTCAGAGGTACTTGGGAGGCAGGGGTTGAGGGATTGCTTGAACCCAGGTTTTGATGCTGCCTGGGCAACATACCAAGACTATCTCAAAACAAAATACACATAGAAAGCTAGTGTGTAGTCAATGTTAGATTATTGCTTTTCTGCTTTTGGTGATTTTTTGTTTTGTTTTGTTTTTTGAGACAGGGTCTCACTGTGTATTGGGACTGACCTGGAACTCACTATGTAGCCCAGGCTGGTCTTGAACTCACAGCAGTCCTCCTGGCTCAGCCTCCCAGAGTGCTGGGATTACAGGCGTGCACCACCACACTCGGCTGGTGATTTCATTATTTAAAATATAAATATGATAGCTGGACCTGTAGCTCAATGATAGAGTTCTTACCTAGCATGCAAGAGGCCCTGGGTTTAATCCTCAGTGATGCAAAATAAAAGCCCCAACACACACACACACACACACACACACGCGCGCGCGCGCACGCGCGCGATTAACCTGTATATTCTAGCTCAGTAGCTTCCTTACTCTCCAGCATGGTCGCTTTGGACATTGGGCAGCACTGGCAGGAGATTCAGAGGCAGAGAGAAGAGTGACAGGGGTATTTATTCCTCCACTCTCCATGAGGGTTATCTGGGGGCTTTGTCCCTTGACCAAAGGTCACAATTGTTTTCTTACGGTCTCTTCATTCCTGAAGAGAGAAGATTGGACATGCCCTCTGGACCTGGAACTGCTCCCTCAGTCTTCAGGACTATGGGGAAGTGCTACACTCGCTTGGCATTCATTAACTAAGAGGTACTACTCTAGCACCTCTGAAGGCAGACCCTTTGCTAAACTTTATTCATATTTTTCCAATTTGAATTTGTTTTCTGCTGGGATCCTGAGTGAAATAGTTGCTTTATCTTTTGTTTTGTTTTTTTCTTTTTGTACTGGGGATTGAATTCAGGACCTTGCGCTTGCTTGCAAAGCAGGAGTGGTGCCACCGAGTTAAATCCCTGACCCTGCTTTATGTATTTTTTAATCACCCTGATTGGTATGCCAGATAAATCCTAATACTTATGTTAATTTCTTTAGACAGTAACTGAGTGCAGAACTTCCCTTTGTTTTATGTGGTATGTTGCTAAAGGAGATAAAATAGTGTTAAATATAATTCTGAGTACCAGAAAAAAGTGTTGAATTATACATAAGAGGCTAGTAATAATAATAGTTTATTTTTTTGTTTGTTTGATACTGGGGATTGAACTCAGGACCTTGTGCTTGCAAGGCAGGTGGTGGCACCACTAAGCTATTTAAATAGTTTATTTAAATACAAACTCCAAAATACTGTTAAGCTTTAAGTGTCTCCCTTTTTCTCTCAGAGATTGGTGGTTTGATTCTCTAGTAAGTCGATTATTAATGTCCTTTGTATCATATCACTGCTTATTGACACCTTTTGGTAGGAGGATACATTACAAGATTCAAGTTATATCATTTGGCTGATTTGTAGTGACTAAGAAAGTTCTAGATAGTACTTTAGCTATATAGGAGCTTCATCTTTATACATCAGGTCTCCTTTCAATTGTTAAAGATAACTAGGAGTTAATATATAGTTATCTGGGCGATTCAGTCTTAAATACTAGGTTTGTGTAACTGTAACAGTTGATTTTTCATTTGAAAGCGGCCTAGAAATAGCTAGAATTAAATGAGGTTAAATCTGAATTAAGTCAAGGTTCATTGGTAATTGGCAAGCATAATTTCTCTTGAAATGACATAAGCGCTAGTCGTCCTTTTTTTTTCCACTTAGAGTAGCAAAATGTTATCATTCTAACTTGTAAATGATCAGTCTTCCATAGCAACATGAAAGTATTTGGAAATAGGATAAAAATTAAATTGTAAAAGAAGCTTCAATTAAAACATCTGTACCAGTAGCAAAATAATTTGGAAATTCTACCTTTATAGTTCTTGTTTTTTAATACCCCTTTCCTCAAAACTTTCCCTTTTACTTGCTCAATTAAAATTTTAACATCCAATCTACTGCCAAGTAAGGTTCTTAGATTTTTAATGTTGATATCATCTGGAAATAAAAATCTCAAATCGTAGGCCAGACTGTTGAATCACACCCCACATTTTAGCATAAGCATCCCCAAATGATAATAAGTATACACATCAGAAATTGAAAATCACTCTGAGATTGCACCTCTTTGGTTTAAAACAAAGTTGTGGAGTGTTAAATTTGAGGCATTGTACTGATCACACATTAATAGGTGAAAACTGGTTCAATGTATAGGTATCTTCTGTATAAGTGCTGAGAAAAGAAAGTACAGAAAAGCAGAAATCTATTTTTTGTAGTTAATCACACTGAATCAAATTTTCCCATAATGCAGACTCACCTGAGGCTTTGTTTTATCTGTATCACTTCTTGAATTAGTTTCATTTGCTTCTTGAGTAGTTTCATTTCCTTAATATAAACTGAGATTATATTAAAGACACAAATGCAGGTATTCATGGAGTTCATAGTCTAAGAATATGTGTGGGGCTCAACCTAGAAGATGGAAATTACTTTCGTGTGTTAGGATTATTAATGTTACAGAAATATCCATCTCTACTCAACATTTTCAGATTCTTTTAAATTTTACCATGGTGAGCCATTTTCTTGCAACATTTTTAGAGGGCCTTTTAAAATAAAGTAGGATAATTAGGGCAGTCTAAATAAGTGATACATTTACTGTTTTCCTCAGAAAGTACACTTCATATTAAAATTTTATAATTTTACTAAAAATGTAGTTGTTAATTATTTAGACAATAGAACTTCTCAGTAGCAACCAAGTTGTTATGAATTATTTTATGAGAGAAAAGCAGGCATACTTAATTTTGTATTGTGTTGAGTATTTATCCTCATTCTTTCAGATTCATCAGGATTCATTTTTGATTTGCAGTCCAATACTGTACTGGCCCGAGGAGGAGTTTTTGAGAACATGAAAGAGAAGGTAAGGCTAGTTACTGTAGAAAAACAATCTTGAATTTCATAGGAAAATTTAGGAAACTAATCAGTAGCTGCTAACAAAACTCATTAAGAGCCAGGGGTGCAGTGCTACACATGTGTTTTCTCAGCATTTGGGAGGCTTGAGTCAGCCTGGACTACACAGTGAGACCCTGTCTCAAAAAAACCAAAAAAGAAAAGAAAAGAAAAATGACATGTATCATTTTAAATGCATAACTGAACATAAAAGGTAAAGGAAATCCATGGCTCCAAAAATACAGATGGGACCAAAAATTAGAATGGTAACTGAAACTGGGTGACAGTGCCAGTCTCACTAGCAAATTAGCTTTACCACAGAGGACTAGAAGGCCCAGGATTTGTCATGGAGAAAGGATTGGATGGGTCTTGTGCCAGGTTTCATGATCTCAGTACTCAGGAGGCTGAGGCAAGAGGATCACAAAGAATCTGAGGCTGTCCTGGGCTGCATAGTGAGTTCAAAGCTTACCTGAACTACATAATGGGATCTTATAAAAAAAAAAAAGAAGAAGAAGAAGAATTCTGGAACAGGTCTAGTGTAAGGTCACAATTTTTTTTGTTTTGTTTTGTTTTGAGACGGGGTCTCACTATGTAGTTGAGACTGACCTGGAACTCACTATGTAGCCCATGCTGGTTTCGAACTCACAGCAATCCTCCTGCCTCAGCCTCCCGAGTGCTGGGATTACAGACATGCACCACCACGCCCGGCTGTAAGGTCACAATTTTTAAGGGGCCAGGGATTTAGCTCAGTGGTTCTGCCTTGAAAGTGTAAGGTCCGGAGTTTGATCCCTGGTGCCCCCCCAAAAAATTTTAAAATATTTTTACCTTCAGAGAAATGATGAACAGGAAAATCCTGCTGACTTCTTTTCCTCCTTACCTTCTGACTTTATTCAGTGGCATGTTCATAGCAGGGTTGGGGGTAGATACAAGGTGGCAGTGAGTGCCAGGGTCTCCTTAGCCCAGGCCCAAATGGGAGGGGCTAATCCTGGGCTGAGATATGGGGGCAGAGGACAACAGTGTCTGCTCCAGAGGGCCCAGGTGGCCAAGCCCTTGTCCAGGACACAAGTCCTGGGCAGCTGGGGAGCATTCTGGTTGCAGGACTCTCCCTTTTCCCCTCTGGTGAGGGTGAGGAGATTTCTGGGCTGGGCCAGGCAGCTACTGTGTCCTGTCATATCCCATCCTTGGCCATCAGAATGGCTTTATGGCTGCTTGAAAATGCAGCTTTGATATGTGAGAGTTTTCATGATGTTGGCAGTGTTTTTATAGTCATCAGTGTCACTGTAGGACTGGCCTATCATGGCTAGAAGTGCATTCTTGGGACACGGCCTATGGTTTAAGATGAAAGCCTTTTTCAGATTAATCCACTGCTTGAAGCAATCCACCACTGGCAAGCCCACATACTGGCACTGGCCTGGGAGCGTGACTTTTAAACTTGACATTTGATCTAAGGGGCCTTCCTTTGCCATCCACTCATTGGTTCTAGTTAGCACTCGCTACATGCTTGACTGACCATCCACTGTGGCCTGAATAAAACCCATGAGCTCTGCAGGGGATAAGCTGTGGATGGACTACAGGCTGGACATACTTGTGACAGACTCAGTCACTATGGTCCAGCCATTCAGCTTCAGGATGGGGAACTCAATGATTTCCCACACACACTCTGACCCCAATTGATGTGGCCCCTACTGACTTTTAAGTACAATATTCTTCATGGTTTTTGTTTTTTGAGAGAAGGTCTTGCTATGTAATTCAGGCTGGCCTTGAACTTGACTGTGTAGCTCAGTCTGGCATTGAACTCAGCTGTCCTCCTGCCTTTAACCTCCAAAGTGCTGGGATTATGGGCATGTATCACCACACCTTGCTCTTACTGTATACTGTACATGTTGAGAGTGATAAACAGATTTGTGGGCTGGGATGCACCTCAGTGGTATGCTGCTTGCCTAGTATGCACAAGGTCTTGGGTTTGATCCCAGTGTAACAATTTTATTCATTGAAATTGAGGATGTCAGTATTTCATGATTTAACAAAAACATATCCTAGGTATATCCACTGAAAGGATCTAGAAACAATGACTCTCTAGTAGCAATAAACACATCTGGCACCTAGATATTAATTTCTAACTACCATTCTCCGCCAAAAGGAACTAAGACCTCTGAGAACAAACAGTTACACATCGTGCAGTAGATCTAAAAATTATGAGTTGGGAAAGAAGAAAAAAGCTGTTATTTTAGAAAAGAAGGAAAATGCTTTTATGGAAAGTACAGTTATCTGCATAGAAAAATCCAGGAAAGCAACAAATTAATAGGACTAATAATTCATCAGTTACTAGATATGAAATAGATATATAAAAATAAAAATGATATGCAATTATTATAAAGTTTACCTTTTCTTTGGTGGATATTTTTTTCCTGGTACTGGATATTGAACCCAGGGCATTTGCATTGATCTACACCTACATCCTCAGGCCTTCTTTATTTTGAGAGAAGGTTTTGCTAAGTTGCCCAGGCTAAGTTCAAATTTACAATCCTCCTGCCTTAGCTTCTCAAAATGCTAAGATTATAGGGTTGTACCATTACCCCCCCATTATAAAATTTATTTATTTTCTTTTTTTTCTTTTATTGAGTTTATTGGTACATTTAAGGTATACAGTACAGTTACATTCATTATTGGGATCTTGTACCTCTACATGACAGGTCTTGGTTCTCATTTTTTCCCCTTGTCCCTGCCTTCCCTTGACCCCCTCCCCCCCCCATTTACAAACACTTTATTTCCATTTTTTCATTTTCTCATATTTTTTTCCCTTATTACCTTTACCCTACCCTTCCCACTTTCACTACACCTTTAGCCCTTTTCTTCCCATTTCACAATGTCAGTTATCTCATTAGGATCTTACGTACTATTACGGTTTATTCACACCAGAGAAACTATTCAGTATTTACACGTGTGACTTTTTTATTTCACTTAGGAGTATGTCCTCAATATGTATCCATTTTCCTATGAATGAGTCTAATTTCTCATTCTTTATGGCTGAGTAGTATATAAAGTTTATATTTTATTGGCCAGGGATTTAGCTCAGTGGTTCCAGTGCCTGCCTCACAAGCACAAGGACTTAAGTTCAATCCCTGGTACCCCCCAAAAAAATAAATAAATAAAGTTTATATTTTTAATTTAAAGAAATGGAAAATACCTTAGGAATAAATCTGACAGAATTGCTGTATTTATTTTAGAGAGCAGGATGGCATTACCTAATGAAGTGGTAGTGTCCTAGTATTCAAGATTCTACTAGTGGTTGTACAGAAGAACCTATTTTTAAAAATTGTGTAACTATAGTGTTCTAAATATTATTTTGGGAACTGATTTAACAGCAAAGTAACATAACATTCAGTACAGCATTATTCCCCAAAACCACACATTAGAAACAGTGTTAATGTCCTTCAACAGGAGAAAGAATAAGTGGAGTATATTATATGATGGAAATACTGTGTCACTTAGTATAAATGAATAAGAGATGTATTTATCAACATGAAAGGGCCAGGGACCTCGCTGCCTCACAAATGCAAGGTCCCGAGTTCAATCCCTGGTACTGTCCCCCCAAAAAGGAGAACACCAGGCAGGGTGGCACATGCCTGAAATCCCAGTACTCAGGAGGCTGAGGCAGGAGGGTCACTGCAAGTTCAAGGCCTGAACTACATAGCGAGACCTTGTCTCAAAAAAAAAAAAATCAACATGGAAAAATTCTAAAAATGCTGTGTAATAAAAGCAAATTGAAAATAAGCATGTATGATAAAGTGATACTTATGAAATAATAGCATAGATTTTAGATATACATTCATCTTTAAAATGTAAGCATGTATTGAAGTTAAATTTAGGATAGAGATAGAGCTCTAGAGAGAGAGAAGAAGGGATATTTTATTAAACTGGGTGTCACCTAGTATGTGGGGTTTTTTTGTTGTTGTTTTGTTTTGTTTTTTTAACAGTTGCAAAGTTTCACATTTAGGAAAGTTAGGAAAAAAACCAGTTCTGCAAGGTAAGTTTGGGATTCAGAGTAGGAAAAAGAAGAAAAATTAAAAGCAATACACGTTACATTGTAGGGTAGGCTACCATGAAGAGAAGATACTGTGTGTTTATTGTGTTATATGCCTGAAGCAGTCTATTTATCTCTGTATATTCTTTGTAGTTATTATAAAGTGATATAAAGTAAAAATGTTTTGAGAAATGCTATATAAAATCTAAGTTGTTTTAGTTGGTGTTTCATTAAACATTCCACCCTTTCCTACAGCATGCTTAAAGTGAGGAAATGTTGGTGCTAAGTTGATACCTGGCATCTAAATTAAACAACTGTTTTATATGAAATCTAGTACATACCTTCTATTTCTACAAATGTTTTATCTAAATTTTGAAATTAATTTTTCATGCGCCATTATTACTCATCTATTTTCATTTCCAGTGAGATGGTTTTATGTACTCTAACATCATTTTTTGTTAATCTCTTTAATACACTTCAACTACCTAGTGACCTACTGCTGTTAGAATTAAATGATCCTGTCATCTTTTCCAGATAAATGCAGTACGTGCAATCGTTCCTAATAAGAGCAACAATGAAATCATCCTGGTTTTGCAGCACTTTGATAATTGTGTGGACAAAACAGTACAAGCATTCATGGAAGGTAATCTTAGCTCTTTTTTTGTTTTGTTTTGTTAAGAGTAGGAAAAATTGGGCTGGGGATTTGGCTCAGTGGTTCCGCTGCCTGCGCCTCTCAAGCACAAGGGTCTGAGTTCCATCCCCAGAACCAACCAAAAAAAAAAGTCTAGGAAAAATTTACTGAGAGGAGGAAAGCTTCTAAGAGACAGAAGGGGGACTGGAAAGTAGGTTACCTGCTCACCCAACTTCTCAAAGGTGTTTTATGAGACAAAGATCTTAGATCACTTTTTAATAACAAAGATCTTAGCTCACTTTTTAATAAAGATCTTTAGTTCATTTAATATCTTGTTCAATATAAGTTACTTTGGCCTTTTAGAACATTCAGTAATGAAGCATTTCATTCATAAGCTATGTAATGTCAGGAATAAGAAACTAAGAAAACACAAACTAAGAATTTGACACAGAATATTCTCTATTGGTATTTAAGAAGAAATCACGTGTCCATTGTTACTGGAGTTGACTTGAATAAAAATTTAAGCGACTCTTCATAACAAAAGAGTGATTTAGTTGTCCCAGTAACAGATGGCAAATTCAGAAACTCAACATTCTCTTGCAAGCTCTACTGTTATTTAGTTTGGTTCTGGCGAGTGACTCAAAATGGGTGAGGGCCGGGGATTTAGCTCAGTGGTTCCACCACCTGCTTTGCTAGCCCAAGGTCCAGAGTTTGACCCTGGGTACCAAAAAAAAAAAAAAAAGAGTTGAGTTTCGCTATAAAAATGGTAGGCTTAGCCGTGCTTCAGATTCATAGAGCTGAGGAGCGTCAAACAGATCTCTTTCCAAATAACTTGTTTAAGAAAAAGTTATTTGAAGCTGTTTATCATTGAACGGTAATGTTAAGTTAGAACCCCATTTTTAGTTTCCTGAATTTGTAAATGCAGGATAAAAAGGTCTAAATACTGTAAGTTTTTTCTTCACCTTCATCTGTTTTCTTAATAATGTTATGGGTCTGATGGAGTGTACAGCTATCTCCAACTCAGTGTAGCTGGGGTGGTGTAAAACCTGGAGGGAAGTGGATGGTATACTTTGGGCAGAAGCCAGTCATCTTTATATTTGGACTACAGTGAAAAGAATCTTCAGGGCTGGGGATTTAGCTCAGTGGTTCTGGTGCTTGGTCCCAAGTACAATCCTCAGTGCCAAAAAAAAATAAAAATAAAAATAAAAAAATCTTCAAAGTGGCCGGGCTACATTAGTCTCTTCTTGGAAGAACTCACTGGGGAAATTACATGGTGAAAGGGATTTAAATAGGCAAGTATGCTGAAAGGAAAGCATGACGTGATTATCTCATTACATTACTTCAGAGACCTGATCTTTAAATTGTCTTATTACGAACTTTGGAAATTCTCAGGCATTTATAAAAAGCAGAGACATTAATTCCTGCTTGACTGTGGTAGGAATGAAAATCTGCAATTGGTTTCTCTTACAGGTAGTGCCAGTGAAGTACTCAAAGAATGGACAGTAACAGGCAAGAAAAAGGTAAAAATGAATTCAATTTGAGCATAATATTGATTTTCATATTAGTTTAAAAATGTAAGCTCCACAAAAAATACTTGAAAGAAAAGGCTTACATAAATATCTTCAGTTCATCTTGCTAAAACATCCCCTTTGTCACTGAAATCCAACTAGTACTGAGCACCACCCAGTTTCTTCCCTGTTATTGAAGGCAGAAAGCAGTAACTCTGCTGAGAGGTTACTAGATAGGGGTTGAAATAAAGAGCATGTAGAGGAATGCAGAGCTGCTTCAGAGAAACTGATCAGGTTTTCAGTAGTTCACATCATCAGTCAGCTAAAACGCTCAGACTTTTATGTTAGACAACAGTGTTAGGATCTTTAATATTAATGAACTTTGACGTAAAGCCTACAGAGGGCTTTTGCTACTAGAGCTATTAAGTGTTTTGCAGCGGGGTCTGCTGCTACAGTTAAGAGAAGTAGAAGGCACTTGGGCTGGAGAGGGTCAGAGCTAGATTTCTATCTGGTTCCACTGTATAATGGTTTTATGACCTGGAGTATTGTTTAACCTTGGTTCGTCTCTAAAATTGAAAAATAATAACTAATATATCAAATACTTAAATGCCTAATATATAATTCTTGGTATTTTTCTCTTTATCCCCTTAAAACCAAGATTTAGGTCAGGTGTGGTGGTACATGCCTGTAATCCCAGCACTCAGGAGGCTGAGGCAGGAAGATCCTGCAACTTCAGGGTAGCCTGGGCTACATAGTGAATTCAGGGCCAGCCTGAATTACGTAGTAAGACACTGTCTCAAACAAACAAACAAACAAACAAAAAACTCAAGATGTTTCCCCAAAGAAGACTAGCTAGTCTTAGTATTCTTCCCACAGCTCTGTAGCCTAAATTTAGGCCCTTTAGGAAAAGCTTAAAGTATGGATTTTAATATCTGTATGAAACCTGTTTGGAATATTATTTTCCTGCATTAGGGTAGTGTTGAACTCCTGAAATGCTTTCTTGATGCATCTAAATCACTTCATTAGCAGTTCTGTCAGGGCCTCATCAAGCCATCCTTGGCCCTGGTGACCTTTCAGAATTTTCCAAGAGGTACCTAATACCCTTGAGCTTGTCCTGAAGCTGTCTATACCTGTAGCTTTGCATGTTTAACTTATCAGTGCTTTCAATAAACATAGCTATGAGTGTTCTAGAAAACATCACTGTCTTAATTTATAAGCCCAGGATGATAAATTATTAGTGCCAGTTCACATGGGAGAAAGAATTTAAGAGCAAGATTAGAATTTTGCAGGAGAGATTGTATTTCAAGTTCACTAGTACTCCTGCTAGACAGAACCACTGAAAAAATTTGGGGAGGGGAAATTGATTCAGTTATACCTATCTGGCCTTAGGAATAGAATTAAGAGTTGCCAGTAGAGCTGTTTGTTGACAAAACAAAAGGTAAAGAGCTTGTTTGATTGCTTTAATTTTATTATTTTTCCTGGGCTTGTTGAAACATGCCTGTAATCCCAGCACTTGGGGACTGAGGCAGGAGGATCACCAAAGGCCAGCCTGAATTGTTTAGCAGGACTCTGTCTCAAAAACAAAACAAAACAGGCTGGGGATTTAGCTCAGTGGTGCTGCCTCCTGCCTCAAGAACATAAGGTCCCAGGCTTCAGTCCCTAGGACCAAAAAAAAACAAACAAACAAATTTTTTTACTATTTTTATAGGTAATATATTCATGTGGCTCAATTCACAGGTACTCAAATTAATGCACTGAAACATCTTCATCTTACCCTATTCTCCAGCTACTTAATTCCCTACCCCAAAGGTGAACAGTATTATAAATGTTTTAATGGGTCTTCCAGGATATTTGATGCATATAAGTGTGTTCTTTTTGTAATATATTGAGCTTATTTCATATTTTGATATAAAGTATAATGAACTTTTTTGTTAGGGACATATAATCATCCTGCTGTCTGGATGTACCATATCTTACTTAACCAGTTCCCCGTTGGTCAAGCCGTGGGTTGTTTCTAGTCCTTTGCTTTTAATAACGATACTGCAGTAAAAAACCTGATATAAAATATAATTTTGAACATGTTAGCCTCACCTAGGATAAATTCTTAGAAGTAAAATTACTGGCCAAAACATGTGCATTTATAATTTTGATAAGTTATTACCAGATTGCCACCCCTGCTGGTGATATATAAAAATTCTCTGTATCCTCAACTCTACAGTGTTGTTATACTTTATTTTTGCTAATCTAATAATTGAAAAATGATACTGCAGTATTGTTTTAATATATTTGTCTCTTAGACAGGGGCTATGCCTCATTTCATATGCTTATAGCCTATATCGTTTCTGTTGTGTTAGTTGGCTTTTTTTTTTTTTTCTTTTTTGGTACCGGAGATTGAACTCAGGACCTTTTGCTTGCCAGGCAAGCCAGTTTCTTGGCTTTTTGTTAGAGCTCTTTTTGTTTCAATACAAGCTACAGGTTTGTTTGTTTTTGGTTTTTTTTGGTACCAGGGGTCGAACTCGGGCCCTTGCACTTGCAAGGCAAGTGATGGAACCACTGAGCTAAATCCCCGGCCCCAAGCTACAGGTTTTTTCCACATTTTCTAATTTATCTTTTCATTTTGCTTAAGGTAGGTTTTTGCCATGAGGAGATGTAGTGTGTTTAATTATATTATGAGCTTATCCAAAGGGTTTTACATAGTAAAATTTTATTATAGGCAGTGGTTCAGCATATATAAAAATATGTTCAATCTCTGGAAAGAACATACGAGAAATTAGTAGCATTGATTGCCTTTTGGTAGCTAGAGTTGCTTACCTCTTTGGGTGTGTTGTGGGAGGGTCTGCTTTTTCTTTTCTTCTTTTCAAATCTTCAATAACTTTAGAACAAAAAGAAGAAAAGCAAACCAAAACCTGGAGCAGAAGCAAGAAACAATATCCCAGATTCCAGTAAATCTGTTTCCATTCAAGAGGAGCAGTCTTCACCTTCCTCAGAGAAAGGTGGTGTTGATGGTTGTCAAGTCAATGGAGTCATCAATGATGCTGAGTCTGTGGACTCCCTCAGCGAAGGTTTGGAAACACTTTCAGTGGAGGCCAGAGAATCAGAAGATCCTGAGTTGGCTGCACCAAATACACTGGATAGAACAGGTAAGTTTATTAGCAGGCTTTTCAAAAGTTACATTTAGGCAGACCGAGGATTTAGCTCAGTGGTACCGCACCTGTCTTGCAAGCACAAGGTCCTGAGTTGAATCCTTGGTACCAAAAAAGTTACATTCAGGTGAAAAATACAAAGACCTGTTTGAGAAAGCAATCAGTAAATTAAATGTAATTGGTCTTTTACTAGTTTTTTGTTATCTTTTGTGTAGAAGAATCGCAGTTTATACTTACCAAAGGCCTAGAAAAATAAAGTTCTTCTTCCCCCATCTCATATTTTAGTTCCAATCATAAGAAGAAATTTCTAACCTAATAGCATAGAAGTGGCTTAGTATTGAGAAAGCAAAGACGATTATCCTTCCTACTTATTTAGGAAAGTGATGAAGATGTTTTCTAGTCAAGAGTTCAGATTCATAGTAGTTGTATATTCACATATCTAGTACATTTTTGTCAACCATTTTGTTGAGGGTTGGGAAAATACTGGAAATCTCTCTCTCTCTTTTCGTTGTTGTTGTTCTTTTTTGGTACCAGGGATCGAACTTGGGCCCTTGCTCTTCCGAGGCAGGTGGTGGAACCACTGAGCTAAGTCCCCAGCCCAGTATCTCTCTTTGAAAATCACTAATTTGTTACTCCAACTTCCCCTGTGTTGTAGTTCCTAGCTTTATAAATGTAGTGTCAGTGTAAGAAATTATGCCATGCTTTTTAGAATTTCTTTTACTGATTCACACACACACACCCTACAGGAAAAAATACTGTACCTACAGACCCCAACAATAGCCAATGGCTTTCATGTTTTTTTCTGGGCTAACCTCATTTTTTAACTCTACCCATTTCTGTACTCCCTGAAGCTTTTTTTTTTTTTTTTTTTTTTTGGTACTGGGGATCAAGCTCAGGACTCCCTAAAGCTTTTTGAAGTTTTCTTTCCCTGAAACAGTATAAAATTCTTTTTCCTCAGTGTAATTTACTGGAGTTGGTGATACTGACTCTTCACCTGTGGAGCTACAGAATGTTACTTCTTATCTAACTAGGTTGGCTACAGCTGCTTTTCTTCATGCCGAGTGCCTCTTAGGATTAAGGCAGAAGCTAGTGCTAGTCACACGCAGGTGATTCTGATCTTTGTTGTATTTTTGTCAGTTGATTATGCTCACAAACTTTTAAGAGTCATGGATTTGCCTGAAATGTTTTTACCTGCTTGCTTTGTATACTTAAGACTGCTTGACTGATTTAATCCTACATTATGCTCTAAAACTCTGAACTCTTTTGGACAGGATCTGTGCTGGAGAATGGTGTCTCTGACTTTGAACCCAAGTCTTTGATTACCTACTCTATTCAGAATGCTCAGCACTTCAAGAATGCTGCCAAATCTCTGTCAAGATCCACTGCAGGACCTCACTTTTCAAATCGGGGAATGGAGGATGTTTCACTCTCCTCTACCAATAAAAAACTAGGTAATGCAAGGTCCCACCTCTGAGAGAATGAAAAATCTGGTTTTGGCTAGCCCTACATGAGGTTTCAGAAGGGCATCAAGTAACACTTTGCCTGTTTTCCAGACTGTAACTCTGCAACACTTTCTACATCCATTTACACAACTGAAGTTTAAATGTAGTTCAGATGTTATACCATCTTGCTAGAAGGACAGGTACCTTCTGTGTGATTTATAGACAAAATTAACTGCCAGGATGCCTTAGCTAATATTAACCTGTTATCTTTCTTTGCTTTACTGCAACATTTTGTGCTATTTCCTTCATTTTTATCTCCTAGTTTACTCAACAAGTCAAAGATCTTCATGTCTGACGTGACACTCCAAAGAAATATTTTCACTACACTTCGACACTTCATGTTTTTAGTGATATCTGACTGACTCTTTTAACAAGATTGTTTTCTCTTAAGTAGTTAGCAGCAACTAGTGCTTGCTCTTTGCTTATTTATTTTAACTATTGTAATTATTTAAGTAATACTAATAATTAGAGGTGATAGCCCCTCTGAGTTTTACACATTTAAGCATGGTGGCCCATAAAGTAAACAAAATGAAACAGAGAAGTGTAAAGAACACTTGTAACCTTGTAGCTCCTTACTAAATTAGTTATACCACATGAGCTAAATTGTAATCAGTGAAATTCTCCTTTTTCATCTTTATAGTAGTCCTTAGCTTGATGCAGAACAGCAAGTCTGAGACTCTCCATTCAAGCAAAAATAAAATATACATAGGCCCAAGGCTGTAAAGGTTTTCAATACAGTCTAAATGAAATAGTGGGAATAAAGAGTTGATGTTTTATTTTTATGTATGTATGTATGTATTTATTTTTGGTACCGACAATCGAACTCAGGACCTTGCACTTGCGAGGCAGGGGCCAGAACCACTGAGCTAAATCCCTAGCCCTGAAGAAGAGTTGAAAAAATAAAACTGGACATGAGCATTAGTCCCAGCTATTTGAAAGATTGAAGCAGGAGTATTGCTTGAGCCCAAGAGTTTGGGGGCAGCCTGGGGAATACAAACTACCTCTGAAAGTTTATAAATTAAGAAGTTGAAAATATATATCAGCATATTTATAAACTTCTTAGAGTCATGATTCCAACAATCAGCTGGGTATAACTTTGGCACTGTTGAGTAGAAGAGTTAGTAGAACTCTTGGAAACTGCTTAAAATAAGTTCAGTTGATAAGTGTATTTCCTCTTTTTCTATGAAGCTAGCTTCACCACGTACAGTGTTTCAAGCTATATAATAGACAACTTTTTAATTTTATAATGTCCACATAGTGAATTACTCTGTTAAATCCTGTCATTTGGTACTTATTTAAATAGGGTGTTTTTTTTTCTCTCTCTTATTTTGAATAGTTTCTAAAATTGCTGTACTCAAATTCATTAATTTTTTTTTTTTTTTAGTACTGGGGATCGAACTCAGGTCCTTGTGCTTGTGATACAGGCGGCGGAACCACTGAGCTAAATCTCTGGCCCTCATTAAATTTTTTTAGCAGTTTCTCATCTGCTGTTAATTCCATCCAGTTTTTTTTTTTTTTTTTTTTTTTTTTTTTTTGGTACCGGGGATTGAACTCCGGTCCTTGCACTTGCAAGACAGGCCACCAAACTGCTGAGCTAAATCCCCGGCTAGTTGATTTTTTATCACATTGTTTTTGTGGGACTCTTTGGTACTGGGATCGAACTCATGACCTTACACTTGTGAGGCAGGTGTGGCGCCACTGAGCTATATCCCTGTCCCACACACATTTTTTAATCTCTAGATATTTATTCAGGTGAGAGTTTTTTAAAATACCTTTCCTGTTTCTGTCTAATATGCTTTTGTTTTCCTCTGAGTATATGGTATCTGATTATAAGAGCTGTTTAGTGTCTTTTTCTTGCATGCGTCATTTTTGCATGTGTTTCTGTTGTTTTTTCTCTTCATTATGGGCCATGTTTTCTGCCTATTTCTCTGTTTCTCACTTTGAGACAAGGTGTCACTATATAGTTTAGGCTGGCCTTCAGTTCATAGAGAGTGATTCTCCTGCCTCAGCCTACTCAAGTGCTAGTATTATAGGTGTGAGCCACCATGCCTGGCATTTGTTTCTGTTTTTTCAGGGAGGAAGTACCGCACTCTGCCCATTGTCTGAAAACTAATGCTTCATATGTCTTGTGTGTAAGATAGGAGGATAACGCCTACTCTTATTACTTCATCTTGACCAAAATAGGTTTCTGTTTTTGTCTTCTGTGATACTAGGGTTTGAACATAGGGCTTTCATACTGAGCTACATCTCTAGCCCTTTTTCTGTTTTTATTTTGAGAAAGGGTCTCACTTTATTGTTATGTTTCCTAGGCTAGGCTCAGACTTGCGATTCTTCTACTGTAGCCTCCCAAAGTGCTGTGATTATAGACATGCAACACCATGCCTGGCTCAAGATACATTTTTTTTTCCCTTCGGTACCGGGGATTGAACCTTGTACTTGCCAGGAAGGCACAGCCACTGAGCCAAGTCCCCAGCCCACTTTTTTTAATCTGTGAAAAATAAAGGTTTTTTTGTTGGGAAGGGTGATTATTTAGGAAACATTCTTAGACCACATGTTGTTTGTCTCATATGTTCAGACCTAACTCTTTAGTTACATATGTTCCTTTATTTAATAATCTTTGGGTTTGACTTCTCAGGTTCCAGTATTGAAAAATCTGTAAAAGACCTTCAACGCTGTACGGTATCTCTTGCGCGGTATCGAGTTGTAGTTAAAGAAGAGATGGATACTTCCATTAAGAAAATGAAGCAAGCATTTGCTGAATTGCAGAGTTGGTAAGTTAAGTTGCATCTGATATGCTTAGCATAAAATGACCATTTATAAAGATGGTGAGCCATTCACCAGATTCTTTAATTTTCAACTCTTAACTACTCTATGTAATAGGGAGAGAATTTAAAATCCTGTGATAAATTTGTCATTCTGCTTAATTCTCCTTTTGGTCACAGAGTGGTAATGAGTGGTACAGAGAACTCACACCACTTTAGAAATGGGCCTGAGCTTAATATTGTTTGGAAAGGGACAAATATTTATAGAGTACATTGTACGTACTTACCTTAGGATTTTAAACCAAGACTGTAACAAATGACATGATGTTTGAACAACAATTATAAAATAGAGAAGACGTCTTTCTCTTTTATTAACTCCTTTTATCCTTCTTTTTGTTTTGTTTGGTTTTTTTTTGTACCGGGGATCAAACTCGGGTCTTTGTGCTTGCAAGGCAGGTGCCGAAATCACTGAGCTAAATCCCCATCCCTCCTTTTGTACTTCTTAATGAACTTGACCTCGGTGATCTCTTCTGTGCCTTATTATTAATCATTGAGTTGTTTTAACTGTTGTTTTTTTAAACTGTGTTCTTCAGAATACTCATTTCTCTATCTTGATACGTATTCTGTGGGAGAAACCAGTTTAGTAATTAAAGAGGTTGTTTGAAAATACTCTTAAAATATTTTACTACTAGATTTCTCAGTGCTGTTTTTGTGTGTGTGTGTGTGTGTGTGTGTGTGTGTGTGTATGTATTTTGAATGTTGATGTGCATTGTGATTACAACAGGAATACCATGCTATTTCTCAAATATATTTGATTGTAGAATCTTTTTTTTTTTTGGTTTAATTTTTTTTTCAGCTTTAATTGAGTTTATTGGTACATTTTAGGGATACAGTACAGTTACATTCATTGTTGGGATCTTGTACCTCTATATGACAGGTCTTGGTTCTCATTTTTTCGCCTTGTGTAGAATCTTTTAAAGGGGAGAAAAATACATGCTGTTTTCTAGGACACCAAAGCGGTTTTAAATTAAATATTAAGGCATCATATATATAAGACACAGTTCCTTTCTGGAAAATATTTCCATTTTATAAGGGATTTGTTTTTGAAAATAGAAAAGTCTTTAGAGGGCCGAGGATTTAACTCAGCAGTGCTACGCCCACCTTGCCAAGCGCAAGATCCTGAGTTCGATCCGTAGTACCAAAAAAAAAAAAAGAAAGACTTTAGAACCAAATTAATCAAAATGACAGGAAGACAAACAACTAGGTTGATTTAAATATTTAGGATTGTCCATTCCACTTATTTGTGAGAACTGCCTACATCTGAAATATGAGAAGAAGTGTATGAATAGGGAGACCTGCTCATCCTCCCAACTGTCCATTTTCTTGCTGCTTGTCTGTGGACTTGCTTAGATCATGCCAGCCATGTTTTTGTTTACAAGCTTAGTCTAGGTACTTTGTGCAGATAAGAAGGCCAGAGAGGAAGTGTTCAGGTCACCTCTGTCTTCCTGTTCTCTGGAATTGGAGGAGTGGAGTCATGAAGATGAAATAACACCTCCAGAATGCTAAATTATCAGAACCAAAAAGTATGTTTTGGGTAGATAATATATCTAGTAGTTTACATGTCTTGTCCTGAACTCTGCATTCCCATTTTATAGCTATGTACTTAATATTTTATCTTCTGTATTATGGGGTGGGGGGCACGTGAGTGTTGAGATAGAGTCTTGCTTTGCAGTTCAAGCTGGCCTTGAACTCACTATGTAGCCCAGGCTGGCCTCCAACTCATGGTAATCCTCCTGCATTGGCCTCCTGAGTAGTGGGATTACAGGTATGCTTTACCACACAAGGCTCTTTTATATTTTTTAACATACATTTTTGCCCCTACCAGGTTACTCATATTTAACATTTATATTTCCTTTCTCGGGTACTAGTTAATGCCGCTTTTCTGGCTTGATATGCTCTCTTCACACCTCTATAGTTATCTGAATCCATCCAGGTTTTCCAAATTCCACTTATATTATGCTCAGACCTCTGGAAATTTTAGACACTGATCTATCTTCTTTTTGAACGTCTTGAGAGGAAGTGCCAGGCTCTTTGGACTGTATTCTTTGTTTGAGAGAGTCTTGCTAAGTAATTCAGGCTGACCTTGAACTCAAACTTGAGGCACTCCTGCCTCAGCCTCCTGAGTGCTGGGATTATAGGCATGTACCCAGAATGGACTGGGTTATTGTTAGATACTGTTGGTATATCTGAAAATAAAAAGCAAAGTATAGGTCATCACACCTTTGCCTTGATAGGCCTTTGAGTCCCACAATTGTTCAGCTTAATGATTTCTTAGCCACAGGATCCAGATCATTCAGAACAAGCCTGAACCAGAAAACAGATCCGGGAGCGATTTGTGAGTTCTTTCTGACTTGGAACCTAGCCAGGAGGGACCTCCTTCAATAAGTTACAAATGAAATAGTTTGCTGCCTGGGAACTGTGTATTTAGTATTGATTAGCAGGCGCAACAACAGGGTCAATTTAATTTGAGAGACTTACCTGCACTTGGTGTAAAGCCCTTCTCTCTGGCTGACTGGGTTTTTTAACTACCTTATTTCAGTGCTCCTTGTAGTTGCTACTTCAGGACATAATTGACAAGGGAACTAACGCTCTTTGGCACTAAACCAGAGCTTGGAGCTAATGTCACTTAGAAAGCCTTTTTCTTTGGTGGTGGTTACTGTATCAAAGAAAAGCAGATACTTCTAACATATTGGCAGCAATACAGTTATAGTCCTCCTGGCAGGGCACTAGGGAAATAATATGGGTGACTCCTTTTATTTTGATGCCAAATCTAACCTGACCTCTACCTGACAGAAGGTTAATTTAGAAGCTTTCCAGTGTATAAACTAAAAATCAGTTCTTCTCAATGACTTAGTAATAATCATTTCTAGACCTAAGTTTACCTTTTTTTGTTGATAATATTTATGTACTTTACAATTTTGGAGCTATTATTTGGCTTAAATTTGGGATTATACTTTTCTTATGTTCAGTTTTAAAAATTTAGTACCCAAGTGTTGTGGCGCACTTGGGAGGCTGAGGCAGGAGGATCACCCTGAGTTCAAGGCCAGCCTGGGTTACATACATAGTTCAAGTCCAGCTTGAACATACATAGTGAGACCCTATGTCAAAAAAATTTTTTAGAAGGGGCTGGGGATTTAGCTTAGGGGCAAGCTTGAGTGTGTCTGACAGGCAAGCTTGAGGGTCCTGAGTTTGATCGCTAGTGCAAAAAATAAATTAAAAAAAAAAAAGTATAAGGCGTATACCATCCAAAAATTCAATATTCTTTTGATTTTATAATTGAGAAGGTCGTAAATCACTTTTTGAATCACAATTTGGTGTGCTGTTCTTAAACATTTCCTTCCATGAGCCAGGGATTAGCTCAATGGTGCCACCCGCTGCCTTGCAAGCATAAGGTCCCGATTTCAATCCCTCTTACCAGAAAAAAAAAATTTTCCTTTTTTAATAAGCATAAAAGTTCATAAGAGAGCATAGAACAAAATAGAGGAAATCAAATGTTTTTTCCATTTTATTTTTCTATGTAAGTTTATGTTCCTTGTTTGTTTGTTTGTTTATGGTACCAGGGATCAAACTCAGGTCCTTGTGCTTGCAAGGCAGGCAGCGGAACCACTGATCTAAATCCCCAGCCCTGTTCCATATTTATTTTTAAAATTTTTATCAGAAAACTTGTAGAGCTTAACTTACATGAAATTTTATTTATTTATTTTTCCTGGTACTGGGGATTGAACTCAGGACCTTGTACTTTCAAGGCAGGCTTGGTGCCACTAAACTAAATCCGCCCCCCTTTACATGACGTTTTAAAATAAGTTTATGGTTTAAACAATATAGTCATAACCTTCATTCTCTAAAAAGGTCATTTTTTTACTCAAAATTACGTTTCCTCTTTATAACTTTAAAAGTAATTCTTTTTTTGTTTGTTTTGTTTTTTGAGACAGGGTCTCACTATGTAATTGAGACTGACCTGGAACTCGCTATGTAGCCCAGGGTGGTCTGGAACTCACAGTGATCCTCCTGCCTCAGCCTCCCAAGTGCTGGGATTACAGGTGTGCACCACCACGCCCAGCTAAACGTAATTCTTAATCTTCAACCTTTATCATCTTTATTATTTTGTTCCCAAGCAAATCCTGGTGAGTTTACCTGAAAATGATTCCTTTTCCCATAACCAAAAACACTGTATAGAGAAATCTTCCTGCTGTCTTGAGCAACCCTGTGGGAGAAAGGCTGCTGCCAAACTTATCTTTTTGAGCAAATTGAGATTTACCATCTTTCTTTGCAAAACTGTATTTCTTTGCTCTCCTGTTTTCATAAGTTATTCTTTTGCCAGCTTTTCACATGATCTTTGACATGTGAACAGCATTTATTGTTTATATTTTAATAGCGTACCTTTTAGTGATAACATGCCCTTGAAATTATACTGTATTTTAAAGTTACCATTGCTTCTCTCATTACTAATAATCTTCTCTAAAACAGCAACCTCTATATTTTTTTAATAAAGCACTTTCTGTCAAAAAAATAATTTAGTGTGCCTGTGATTGAGGTATTTTCAGGTCAGATCTTAGTAGTGGGGAATGTACTCAGACTAAGGGGACTTGACGTGGAGAGGTATGCAGGAGGCTGAGACTAGAGGATAGCGTGAGACCATTTCTCAGAATTAATTATAGGACAGCGGCATTGTGGCACATACCTGTAATCCCAATACTCAAGAGGCTGATGCGGGAGGATCACTATGAGTTCAAGGCCAGCATGTGCTACATAACCAGACTCTGTCTAAAAAAAAAAAAAAATTTTTTTTTAATTAATTATATAGGAAACAGTAAGAGCAAGGACACTATTGATGAGTTTAATTTTTTTAAAAAATTTGGAAGAAATGAAGCATTGTCAAGGCTTGAAAAAGCATGAACTTTCCATTGCCAGCGAGGGTAAAGGTAGAGCACTGCATTTCACAGAAAGAAGCAGAGACATAGAGAAGGGATGTGGAGGGGCTTCACATAGCTGAGCTAGAACAAAGGGGTGATGGTTCAGAGAAGTGAGGAATAAAGTCAACTCAGGTAGAATGAGAGCATTTGATGGAGGAATGTGAATTTTGTTTTTCTTTTTCTAAAGATTACATTATTCTCTCGAAAAGAAGGAAGAGGGGAGAGGAGAGGTGGTGCTTGCCTGTAATCTCAGCACTTGGAAGGCGGAGATAGGAGGATCATCTTGAGTTCTAGACCAGTCTGAACTGCATAGTGAGATGCTGTCTCAAAAAAAGAAAGAAGAAAAGAAAAGAAAAGAAATAATAGTGGTATAGTCCTTCCACTGTGATACATGATTTTTATTTTTCTGTTGCTGAAGTCATTCCTGGTACTAAGTGACACTTTCCCACTATTCTGTTTTCTGTGTCCCACCCGGCATCCTTGTTGGATTTATTCTGCCATCTTTACTTTCCTAGTCTTCCAATGTCTCCCCTGTCTCTGGAGTTTTACACATGATTATTTTCCACAGAGGATTCAAAAAACAAGTCATGCTTTCAAATGAGAATCTCTGGTCAGTCATATACCATGTGGGTTTAACACTCCAACCATTTTCTGTTGCTGCTTCGAAACCTAAACAGTGTACTGCTTGGTAGGTTATACAGATTGATTGCTACCGGTTCTTTTTTTCTTTAGCAGATTATAAGATATCCTCGAAGTCATATGATCTCTTAGAATTACTTAGAATTGAGATACTCGACCATTGAAAAAGAATACAAAGAAAAGTTTCTCCTTTAAAGGCTTGTCTTTTAAGAACCATGGATTATATTCTGCCCCGGCCTGGTGGCACTCACCTGTAAACTTAGCACTCTGGGAGGCTGAGGCAGAAGGTCTTAATTTAAGTACTTTGCAAGACCCTGTCTTAAAAAATGCTGGGGACACAAGCTCGAGGTCTGGAGTTCGATCCCCAGTACCAAAAAAAAAAAAAAAAAAAAAAAAAAAAAAAAAATAATTCCTGGTACTAAGTGACACTTTCCCACTATTCTGTTTTCTGTGTCCCACCCGGCATCCTTGTTGGATTTATTCTGCCATCTTTACTTTCCTAGTCTTCCAATGTCTCCCCTGTCTCTGGAGTTTTACACATGATTATTTTCCACAGAGGATTCAAAAAACAAGTCATGCTTTCAAATGAGAATCTCTGGTCAGTCATATACCATGTGGGTTTAACACTCCAACCATTTTCTGTTGCTGCTTCGAAACCTAAACAGTGTACTGCTTGGTAGGTTATACAGATTGATTGCTACCGGTTCTTTTTTTCTTTAGCAGATTATAAGATATCCTCGAAGTCATATGATCTCTTAGAATTACTTAGAATTGAGATACTCGACCATTGAAAAAGAATACAAAGAAAAGTTTCTCCTTTAAAGGCTTGTCTTTTAAGAACCATGGATTATATTCTGCCCCGGCCTGGTGGCACTCACCTGTAAACTTAGCACTCTGGGAGGCTGAGGCAGAAGGTCTTAATTTAAGTACTTTGCAAGACCCTGTCTTAAAAAATGCTGGGGACACAAGCTCGAGGTCTGGAGTTCGATCCCCAGTACCAAAAAAAAAAAAAAGAAAGAAAGAAAATGATGGGGATACAGCTTATTGTGAAGGCCATGTGCTCAGTCATCAGTACTGAAAAACAAAAAATGTTATCACATTTGAACATTTATTCTGTTTTGTGTTTTAAAGACATATGAAAATTTTAGTGCGAAAATTATAAATGCTGACCAAGCTTTCCACAGAGAAAATATCACAACATCCCCAGTTAACCAGGAGATCCTCTGTTTAATGCTGGGCCAACATGACAGGAGATGGCAACATGACAAGCAGAAATAGAATGTTTACTGCTTTTTTTCATCTTTAGTGTAGAAACATAAACTAAACTATCTTTAATGGAGGGCTCATACATTGCCTATGCACTGCCTTGTGAGTTTCTTGTGATCATCTATAAGTCAGTCAAGAAACACAAGTTCAGGATAAACACTACTCATTCATTCTTACTCATTCATTCTCACAGGGAAAAAAAGTCACAACAAATTAGCTTATATGTCACAAAAATGTGATTGTATTTTCTCAGAATTTACTTTCCTTGTTAAATATCTAGTGTGATATGCCACTTTTTATAATAAAGATTGTAAGCTGCCAAAAGCTTATGTCTTTGTTAAAGTCTTTTAATATTTTACAAGCTTTGTCAGAGACAAAGAATTTGTCATCTGGTGGACATATCTTCGGATGACTTGGCAACAGAAGAGAAGTAATATAAAACTGTAGGTCTGGCAGCTCCTGTCTCAGTTGTGCATTTGTTTTGCCTTTTAGGTATTCCAAATGCTGCTAGAGTTCTTGGAGCAAAATATTGTCAAGGTTTGGGAATACTTTCTTAGCAAAGTATGGCCATCCCACAATAGTTGTGTCTTCTCTCCATTCTGTGCTTTTGGATTAATATGCCAATAAAATGTATTTATTACAAGCCTTTATTAATTCCATGCATAATGATTATCAATACTGTGTTCTCTGGCACTTCTCTAGAAAGAATTTTGCTCCTTGAGGAGATGACCCTGCTTTATACATTTTTGTATGTCTCCTACTGTAGTGTCTTTATTAACTACTTTCTGCTAACATAACTGTATACTGAGCTAAATGGAATTGGTGTTAATGTGTGTGTGTATGATTGCTTTTATAACCAGAAGCAAGAGTGGGTTTTTATTAATACTGTGATAATAGTCCCATTCAAAAGGAGAAATCAGAATGAACTCATAAAGTGAAAATACTTTGTGTTTGTATAGATATTAGACTTTTAGATATTTTTCTCATATCACCAAGGAAAGTTATTTGCAGCCAAAGAATGCATACTAAGTTGCCAGCAATTTCTATATGCACTGAAGACTGTGGGCTCTTTTATAAGAACACACTAAAAGCTTTACCTACAAACCATTTACATTTGCACTGGAAAAAGTTTTGTTTTCCCATTTAATTTTTTCCTGTAACAAGCCTACCAACAACTTCTGATTCTATTCTTTCCAGATGAATATTAAATGTTTATTAGATATCAGCTTTGTTAGAAAGAAAGAAAAGAAAATAGAAAAGAAAGAAAGAAATTAGCTTTGGCTCTTTTCCAACTTGATGCAACCGGGATCAGCAGTTGAAGATACACAAATCCTAATCATGGATAAATAAGCTCTAGCACAGTGGTGGTGAACCTATGGCACCCAAGCCACAGCAAGCTCTTTGTTATTATTGAAATCCCTAAAAAGTTTGCCATCACTACCCCAGAAGGGATGTTTCCTGATAAAATGTATTATAAGCAAAGTTGCAAAATTTTAGAAACTAAAATGTAATAAGTATGTGAGTGCATATGTGGAAAAGTCATTTTCACAATTTTTACTTTAGCAAAACTAAGAAACATTTTGTAGCTTGCTACTGCCATCTACTGGTTCGCAACTCTTGCGCTTCTAGCAACTGGTTTATATATCAGTAAATAGGAATTGGGTCTGTTTTATTGGAAATCCCTAAAATATTCTATGTTGAAAGTAAGACATCAGAATTTTCATGGGATCCATAGCGTTACTTTGTATTATGCGTTTACTGAACAATTCACCAATCTTTCACTCTTAATAATGTGCTGTTTTTAGGACTGGAGATTTAGCTCAGTGGTTCCGCTCCCTGCCTTGCAAGAGCAGGGACCCAAATTCAATCCCAGTACCAAAAAAAAATTATGTGCTATTTTTGTGTTGGAGTTTCTGAGTAAACATTTTTCCTTTATCATCTTTTTCCAGTTTAATGGATCGAGAAGTGGCATTGCTGGCTGAAATGGACAAAGTGAAAGCTGAAGCAAGTAAGATGTTTGTTCTTTAATTAAAGCTATTATCTAACTAGTAGGTTCCTGCCTCCCAGCCCTTATAAACAGAGGCTCAGTATGAATGCTACTATAAGAGTTTATATGTATATTTAGTCAGTCTTTTTGGGGGCCATCCTGGGGATTGTGCCTGCCCAGGACTTTTGCACTGAGCCACATCCCCAGCCCCCTTTTTTTTTTTTGATACAGGGTCTCACTATAGTTCAGACTGCCCTGGAACTCACTCTGTAGCCAAGGCTGGTCTCAAACTCAGTTCAATCCTCCTGCCTCAGTGTTTGTTTGTTTTGTTTTAAATTTTATCTGTACATATTTGCAATACATAAGGATTACATTCATAAGGAGTAGTTACTTTTTTTTTTTTGTAATGGGGATTGAACTCGGGTCCTTGCGCTTGCAAGGCAGGCCACCAAACCACTGAGCTAAATCCCCGGCCTTAGGGAGTTGTTACTTCTATATAAAGTATCTTAATTATTTTTTTTATCCCCTTCCTCTCCATTTCCTCCATTTTTGGGCCCCTTTCCCATTTGCAGAAAGGTCTATCTCCCTGTTTCCTATTGTCTGTCTTAGTTTGCTCTTTATTTGTACTTTGGGTTTCTTATATTAACAGAAACTATTTAATATTTAAGCTTTTGGCTGGGCATGCTAGCACATGCCTGTAATCCCAACACTTTGGGAGGCTAAGGCCGGAGGATCACTGCAATTTTGAGGCCAGCCTGGACTACATAGTGAGACTTTCCTATAAAAAATAAGCTTCTGTGTCTGATTTATTTCACTTAACATTATGGTCTCAAGATATATCCATTGTCCTCCAAATGATTCAGATTTTTCCTTTTTTTTTTTGCTTCAGATTTATTCTTTATAGCAAAGTAGTACCCTATTATGTATAAATACACCCATTTTTCTCATCCATTCATCTTTTAGGGGGATACCAGGGGTTGAACTTGGGACCTTGTACTTACAAAGCAGGCAGTGGCACCACTGGGCTAAATCCCTGTGTCCCCCCACCCTTTTCTTTTCTTTTACTTTTGAGAAGGAGCTGGACTTGAACTCACTTTGTAAAGCAGACTGGCTTCAAACTCAAGGCAATCCTTCTGCTTTAGTCTTCCGAATGCTGGAATTAGCTGGGCGTGGTGGTGCACACCTGTAATCCCAGCACTGGGTGGGGGTGGGGCTGAGGCAGGAGGATCCCTGTAAGTTGGGGACCAGCCTGGGCTACATAGTGAGTTCCATGTCAGTCTCAACTACATAGTGAGACCCTGTCTAAAACAAACAAACAAAAATTCTGGAATTATAAGTGTACACCACCATGTTCAACTATTTGTTCTTATTTGATTTCTTAATGATAGCCATTCTTTGTGGGGTAAGATGGAATCTCAATGTTGCTTTTTTTTTGATACCGGGGATCAAACTCAGGTCCTTGCGCTTGCGAGTGGAACCATTGAGCTAAATCCCCAGCCCTCTCAGAGTTGTTTTAATTTGCCTTTCTGCAGAAATGTTGGACACTTTTTCATGTATTTACTGAGAAATTTATATTAATTTCAGTTGCCCATTTTTTGATTGGCCATTTTATTTTGAGGGATTTAATTTTTTTGAGCTCTTTTATATTATTCTAGATGTTAATCCTCTCTCTAAATGTAGCTGGCAAAAAATTTTTCCCATTTCTCTTCTCTCTGTTGGTTGTTTCCTTTGCTACACAAAAGCTTTTTAATTTTATGATTCCATCTTTTGGTTCTTGATATTATTTCTTGTGCAGTTGGGTTCTGTTCAGAATGTCCTTGCCCATGTTGCCTATGTCTTCAAAAGTTTTACCTTGTTGTTGTTGTTTTGTTTCTTTTGAGTCAGGGCCTTGCCTTATTCAGCCTGGCCTTGAACTCACTATGTAGCCCAGGCTGGCCTCAAACTCAGTGATCCTCCTGCCTCAGCCTCCTGAATGATGGGATTACAACATGCACAACCACACCCAGCAAGAGTTTTACCTGTTTTATCTTTCAGCAGATTGTTTCTATTTTAATATTTAGATCTTTGATCCATTTTTATTTTAGTTTAGTAGATGGTAGGAAAAGGTTCTAGATTCAATCTTCTGCATGTGAATAGTCAGTTTTCCCAACACCATTTGTTAAAGAGGCTATATCTTTACTTCAGTGTCTATTTTTGGCCTCTTTGTCAAAGATCGCATAGCTGAATGCCTATGCTTGTTTCTGAATTCTGTATTCTGTTCCACTAATCCACATGGCTGTTTTTGTGCTGATACCATGCTGTTTTTATCACTGTAGCTTTGCATATAACTTGAAATCTGGAATTGTTATGCCTTCGGCTTTACTTTTGTTTCACAGAATTACTTTTGCTATTCTGGGTCTCTTCTGGTTCTGTATGATTTTAGGATTGTTTTTTGTAGTTCTGCGAGAAAGACTGTTGGTATTATGATTGGGATTTCATTACATCTTATGTATCAGTTTAGGAAGTATGGCTGTTTTGACAATATTGGTTCTGCCAATCCAGGAAAAGGTAGTATCTTCCATTTTATAATATCCTCTTCTGTTGCCTTTCATCTTCTTTTTTAAAGTATTATAGTTTCCATTGTAGTGATCTTTCATTCCTTTGTTAGAATAATTCCTAAGGTGTTTTTTGTTTTTGGGGGGCTTTTGTTGTTGTTTTGGTTTTTTTTGTTTTGTTTTGTTTTTTTTGAGACAGGATCTCACAATGTAGCCCCCAGGCTGGCTTCACACTCACAGCAATCCTCCTGTCTCAGCCTCCCAAGAATCAAATGAGGTACTGCAAGGCAGGTGCAGTACCACTGAGCTAAATTCCCAGCCCAGGTTTTTTTTTTTTTTTTTTTTATCTATTATATAAAATTATAAACATTTCTTGTAGGCGGATATGAGCCTCCATTGACTTCAACCAGTTATCAACACATGGCCAGTCTTAAGAGCTACAGAATTTTACCGGACTTCATCAATTTTATATCTTTATGTCATTTTTCCTGAAAATTAGTGATACAAGGCAATAACTCCATTCACAATACTGTAAAGAAGGTACTTTTTCATTACACATTAGCATTTTATTTAATCTTCATGTTCATAGTACTTCATGGTTCAGAGTTTTTTCAAATACATTCATATATGATCTTCATATCAACCCTTTGAGGCAGACAGGTTCTTTTAACCGACTCTTAAATTGATAAGAATAGAAATAATAGGATACGAGTTGGGCATGGTGACGCACAGCATACCCATAGTCCCAGCAGTCTAGAGGCTGAGCAGGAGGATCACTGTGAATTCAAGGCCAGCCTGTACTACAGAGTGAAACCATCTCTCAGAAAAAAAAAGAAAAAAAAACAAAACAAAAAAAAGGCTAGTTAAGAGAACTCACAAATCATTTGTACCAATTCACTGCCTTTGTCCTTACTTATTGATTGCAGACACTTAGCAAAGATTCTTCTACAAACAAAAACACAAAGTTCTGAGTTAGGTAATAACAGGAATGTATAAAATTGTAGGCAGCCTGATCTTCCTGAAAGAATTAAAAGAATCATACCACAGTGATATATGTACACCCATGTTTATAGCGGCACAGTTTGTGATAGCTAAAGCTTGGAAACAGCCTAATTGCCAATCAGTCAATGAAGGACAAAGATGTGTTTTTTTAGTACAATGGAGTACTACTTTGCCACATAGAAGGATAAGCTTGAGACATTTCTAGCTAAATGAATGCATCTTGAGACCATACTCTTTAAGTGAAATAAATCGAACACACGTTTAAATACTACATTGTTTCTCTGATGTGAGAAAACAAAAGTATAAATAAGGACCAAAATGTATAATAAATATTGGGAAATGAGAAGGGAAACAAGGGAGGAGGAAGGGGGAGAAGAAAGAAGGGACAAGAAAAAAAAGTAGAAGGGACAAAAATGAAAGCAAAGCTTTTATAAATAAGGAAGGGAAGAGTTGTTGAAAGGAGGGAAGGGGAATGGGGAAAAAACCCAAGATACATGATGTACGGGTACCAATTCCCTATGCGAATGTTATCGTTATGTATATCTAAAGTATACCAGTAAAAAGACATTGTAGGCACTTTGATGAAATCTTATCTGAAAGAAGAAACTTTTAATAAATCAAGATCCTTGCTTCTTTCCCTCCTCCCCCTCTTCCTCCTCCTTTTCCTCCAATTTTTTTTTAAGGATACGAGTTGGGCATGGTGACGCACAGCATACCCATAGTCCCAGCAGTCTAGAGGCTGAGCAGGAGGATCACTGTGAATTCAAGGCCAGCCTGTACTACAGAGTGAAACCATCTCTCAGAAAAAAAAAGAAAAAAAAACAAAACAAAAAAAAGGCTAGTTAAGAGAACTCACAAATCATTTGTACCAATTCACTGCCTTTGTCCTTACTTATTGATTGCAGACACTTAGCAAAGATTCTTCTACAAACAAAAACACAAAGTTCTGAGTTAGGTAATAACAGGAATGTATAAAATTGTAGGCAGCCTGATCTTCCTGAAAGAATTAAAAGAATCATACCACAGTGATATATGTACACCCATGTTTATAGCGGCACAGTTTGTGATAGCTAAAGCTTGGAAACAGCCTAATTGCCAATCAGTCAATGAAGGACAAAGATGTGTTTTTTTAGTACAATGGAGTACTACTTTGCCACATAGAAGGATAAGCTTGAGACATTTCTAGCTAAATGAATGCATCTTGAGACCATACTCTTTAAGTGAAATAAATCGAACACACGTTTAAATACTACATTGTTTCTCTGATGTGAGAAAACAAAAGTATAAATAAGGACCAAAATGTATAATAAATATTGGGAAATGAGAAGGGAAACAAGGGAGGAGGAAGGGGGAGAAGAAAGAAGGGACAAGAAAAAAAAGTAGAAGGGACAAAAATGAAAGCAAAGCTTTTATAAATAAGGAAGGGAAGAGTTGTTGAAAGGAGGGAAGGGGAATGGGGAAAAAACCCAAGATACATGATGTACGGGTACCAATTCCCTATGCGAATGTTATCGTTATGTATATCTAAAGTATACCAGTAAAAAGACATTGTAGGCACTTTGATGAAATCTTATCTGAAAGAAGAAACTTTTAATAAATCAAGATCCTTGCTTCTTTCCCTCCTCCCCCTCTTCCTCCTCCTTTTCCTCCAATTTTTTTTTTCTTTTTTTTTTGGAAACAGGATTTCGCTATTAGTACAGGCTTGTTTTTACTCCCTATGTAGCCTAGGCTGGCCTCGAACTCACAGTGATCTTCCTGCCCCAACCTCATGAGTTCTGGGATTATAGGCATGTCCCACCACATCTGACTTTAAAGATACTTGTTTGGTAAAAATATGATATTTTTCAGTATCATATAATTAAGTCCTGTAAGCTGCGTGATACTTGCAGAAATCTTTACTCAACACACTAACTTAATTTTATCATAAAATTTCCGGATGCTGGAGCTGAGAAAAACTGAAGTTGATTCAAATAGCAAGTAGGTTTTATCTTGGGAGCTAGATCAGTATCTGCCATCTGTAACTGTTGGACCTTGGTGGTAAGAAACTTTTGTAGGAGTGTCCCTGACTTATTGGGAAAGTGTGCCCTGTCTAGTTAACCTGGCACAGGTATGGGCAACCCATAGGTGGCATATATGTAGCAGTCTGGCTAAGCAAACTTGCTGAAAATAAACTCAGCTTTTTAATACCCAATGTAGCTCTAAAAATTTTGTTTTTTCCAGCATAAATTTGGCTGATTTCTCAGTAGTATATAGGCTTCTACCTGTATCAGAGGATGAGTTTGAGCACATGCAACAGAGGGGCCTAAATAAATGTGTTTATATTTAGAGATGAAAAGTGAAAAGATCCAAAGCTTGGGTAAGATTTTCTCAGGATGAATTAGGATCCCAGGTTCCTCTGTCCTTGTACTAAGCCATCCTTAGTGTGCTTCTGGTGAAAAGCTAAATGGGAAGGCTTCAGTCAAAGAAGGGCAAAATATTACATGCTTGCTAAGTAATACTCCTTGAAAGAGCTTTCCTGTAACCCCCTGCCCTGTGAATTCTGCTTGTATCCAGGGGTTGAACACGTGACCTATCTATAGGAAATTTGGGTTTTTACTAAGCACATTAGTATCCAGCAACATTGGACTTCTGCTAGGAAGAAAAAGAGGATGGATGTTCAGTCAACTAACAGATCTTTGCTACAGTCCTCCCCTTCAGTTACTCAGTCTCTCTTCTTTCTAAAATAAGAACACACCTACCTTCTTCTAAATGGCAGCATCTGCAAAGTCACATCTAGTTAGTTTATTGGGCTCAAAGACCAAGTCTTCTGAGTAAGCTTTCATCAGGTTTCATGTTGTGGTTAAATCCCCCCTCCCTTGAGGTGAAGAAAGAAAAGCAGTGATCAAATCTTGCTGAACAGGAATAGCAGAGTCTTTGACCTGGTGATAAAGATTCCTTGGTGATTCATCTTACTGCCCCTAGTTCTGCCTCCTAGGAGTATTTCTTTTACTGGTTGCCTACAGATCTTTTTATTTTCTGTTGTCTACCATGGCCATAGCTGGGTTCTACATCAGGCAGCATGCCAGAGAAGGTCCTTTTTAAAGGGTGTAACAAGCCAGAAATGGTGGTGTATTCATGTAGTTCCAACACTGGAGAGGCTGAGGTGGGAGAATCGGGAGTTCAGGAGTTGGAGGCAAGCCTGGGGAGTAAAGTGAAACATACACAAAAACAGAATGTAACAATCTAATAGCCATCATCAGCGAATGTGATAAATAACTATTGTGTCCACATAGTAGTTTACTGATAAAGGTGATCCAGATGTGTGAGTAAAGAATGAACATCCAGATAGAAGTAAAAATAACTGAAGTAAAGGAAGGCCAGGTGTGGTGCTGCACACCTGTAATCCCAGCACTCAGGAGGCTGATGCAGGAGGGTTTCTGGGAGTTGAAGGCCAGCCTGTGCTACAAAGTGAGACCCTGTCTTAAGAAAGAAAGAAACAAACAAACTAGAGTGAAAATTCTATATTTGATAGACTCGTGAGATAGAAGAGAAGAGAGAGATGTACAGTATGTTGAATATACATAGATAATGTTATGATTAACCTTGATTATCAACTTGATTGGCTTGAGAGACATCTAAGCATACTTCTGTGGAGGTGGAGAGGTTGTGACCTTGGGAACCCTGGTCCCTTCCTGTCTGGATTTTCCTCTGTGCTATACTTCCTGGCTATCATAAGGTTCACAGCTTTTCTCTACCACACCCTCCCACCATGATCTTCTGTCTTAGGCCAGGTAACTATGAACTGAAACCTCTGAAACAGACAAAATAAGCCCTTCCTTCTGTGTATGTCAGGTATTTTTCCCAGCAACAAAAAACTGATCAATATTGAAAGTATTTGGAAGTGTGTGTAAGAAATTGGTAACAGTGCTTCCCTCTGAGTAGTGGCCACAAAATCAGAAGTAGGAGGGACACTTCATTTTCATTTTATACCCATTTATTCTAGAGGAATTTTTACTGTGTGCATATATTCCTGTCTTATTTATATGATTCCTGATAAAATATTTTTGACTGAGAATAAAGAAAAATAACAAGTGACTTATGAGTCTTTGTGATTGATAAAAACTGCCTTCACAGACCCTCCAGAAGGTGGAAACTGGGCTAATGGTATTTTCATTTTCTGGATGGATAGGCAGCTAAGCCCTTGGCTATCTAAACACATATTATAAGACTTAGACTTCTACTTTTTCTGTATCCTATTTAGCAGTAACATAAGATGCATATTTTTTCCTCTACAGTGGAAATTTTACTCAGCCGACAAAAGAAAGCAGAGCTTCTAAAGAAGATGACTGATGTAGCTGTGCGAATGTCAGAGGAGCAGTTGGTTGAGCTGAGAGCTGATATCAAGGTAGAACTACCTTTTCTCTGTCCTTCTTCTCATCCTCAGGGACTAAAAAATGCCCATATGTAATATATCGAACTCATGATCTTTCCTTTCCAAACCTGGCCCTCTTCTAGGTTCCTTTTCTTTATTTAATTCGAACTGTCATCTATCCATTTGTCCAAGCTGAAAACCTTAGGACATTTCTCCGTTTCCTGCATTAAGTCTATCAGCAGACCCTGACCATTTGACTTCTTCCTACATCTCAGTTCTGACCTTTTGTCTTCATCTCCACCACCACATCATGATCAATCTGCTACCATCTGTTGCTTGGATTTCTGTATAACTTTTTACCTGATTCTCTCCATCCACTTTACCACTACTCCACCCTTCCCACTCATCTGTTCCTCATGCTATAGTAAACTGCTTCAAACCTCTCAGTGTTTTTAGGATAATATCAGTTCTTTTGGGGGAGGGCGAGGGGGTGAGACAGGTCCTGGTATGTGGTTCAGGCTGGACTTCAACTCACTATGTAGCCCAGGTTGGCCTTGAGCTTGAGTGATCCACCTGCTTCAGCCGCTGAAGTGCTGGGGTTACAGGCATGTGCTGTAATTCTTAAGATAGACTGCAGGGCTCTCCCTGTGTTGGCTCTGCCACCATCTTGTTTCATACTAGGCTCCTTTGGCCCTTTGGACTCCAACTGCACCAGCTGGGCCTTGCCAGACACTTCCTGCCTCCTCCTGCTAAAGTCCACAGTATCCACCTTCATCTGTCCAAGACACTCTTTCCTCCCTCTAAGCATACAGGTCATTCTTGACCTACTCATTCTTCCTGGCTTCCCTGTGCTGGGCTTTCATAACAGTTACAACTCTATATGCATTTGATTAACACGCGTTCTCCATTAGACTGAATATCACAGCAATAAGAGCTGCTGTGTCCCCAATTCCTAGCAAAGTGGTTGGCACATAGAAGGCCTTCAATAAATGATAGTCGTTGGTCCATTCTGGGTTTTTGTTGTTGTTGTTTTGTTTTTTGGGGAGAGGGATGTTGGAAAATGAACCTGAGGCCTCTCATAGTCTACGAAATTTGATTTTATAGGAAAAGTTAACAATTTGAGATGTAATCTATAAAGATTACTGGGGTTTAGCATTCATACCATTCTATTGATTTAAATTTATTTATTCCAGTACTAGAGATTAAACCCAGAGTTTTCACACTGTCTACAGCCCTGTCCCTTTTAAAAATGTTTTTGTTTTGAGACATGTCTTGTTAAAGTTATTAAGTTGCCCAGTCTTCACTGAAATTTGTGATCCTCCTGCCTCCCCCACTCAGTGTGTGCTGGGATTACAGGAGTGCACACCCTGCCCAGCTTAACATTTGTACCTTTTAAATTTTTACATAAAGAACAGCATCTCCAGGGGTATTAATGGATAATTATAGATAGTTATTACTTTCAGTTGAAGGTATAAGTAATTATTCGTAAACTGTATTAACAAGAGGAGTTGGCCTTTTCTATCCTTGAGCCCTTGGCATGTGATCTTTCTGAACAAACATATGCTTTGTTGCCAGATTTGAGAGGACCATTGCTACAAAGACTGCAAACAGCTTTTATAAAATAAACATAGGTGAAAAGTCACCTAGGATCTTTCAGAGGTTCTTCTCACTCTGAGCCAGTGTGCAACACAAACCTGTTGAGTTCACTATCCTCTCACTCCTTCCTCTTAGAATCTACTGCGGTAAAATAGATTCTAAGGAGAAAAAAAAAATGTTTTTGTTTTTTGTTTGTTTTTGAGACAGGTTCTTGCTATATAGTTCAAGCTAGCCTTGAATTCTGGTCTCAAACTCAGAGCCGTCCTTCTACACAGCCTCCTGAGTACTAGGATTATAGATGTGCACTACCATGCCCAGCTCCAAACAACACTAATTTTAAATTACCATTTCCTGTTTAATTAAAACTGTATTACAAAATTTTATAGACTATCTTCCTCCTATTGATGCCAGTCACTCTCATTCAACTATCTGGGAGAAACCGGAAACCCCTTTGGAATTAGATGAGAATTCTGGCTCTCATAGGCTTCATCTGTTTCCCTTCCTACGTGACTGAAAAGCTGCTAGAAATATTTCTGCAGGCTGACTAAGGATCTGTTTTTCTCCATGTTTTCGGCATACTGAAGCAGGTGCTGTGCAATTTAAATGTCTTATTTCCAGATCATTTTATTTCCGTCACTCTTATTATGTCTTTGGCTCAACAAACCCTAGAATTTGTTTGAGAATTAATCTCAGACTGATATTACATGTTGGAAGGCTGTTATAAGCAGTTCTTATGTTTTCATAGCCTCAGTATATTCAGAAGCTTTAGGGCTTCAAGGCCTGGAGATAATTTTTCTCTCCCCTTTCCCTGTCAGCATTTCTGGATGCATCCCAAGGATTCTGATACATTCAGTGTGGGAGTACACCACCCCCAGTTTCAAGAGGAATGCTGTGAGGAGTTCAGTTTTTCCAAATTCTATCTAGGCCCTTTTCATTTTAATCTGTTTCATCTGAAAAATGATTGCAAGCTACCTTAGGCACTGTTTATTAAGATAAATCCCAGAAGGCCCAGGGTTTGGCTCAGTGGTTCAGCCACCTGCCTCGCAAGCGCAAGAGCCTGAATTTGATCCCTGGTACAAAAAAAAAAAAAAAAAAAAAAAAAAAAAAAAAAAGTAGGGAGTACAGATATGAAATAAATCCCAGAAACACTTTATTCCTGACATGTTTCTAGTTCCACAGTCTTTGTAGTATATTTTTTTGATCCAAGGGTTCAATTACTTCTTAACTCACTCTGCTTAAAAGCATTAAATCACTTGCAGCATAAACTCTTCTTGTTTGCAAAGTTGGCTTTTCATATGAATGATTTTCCATCACATGAAATTGTTCCTATTTCAAGGTCTATGAAACCCTACTTGATAGACAGATGAAGTGGATTTCCTAAAGAAGTTCCTATTGAATGGCACCAAACAAGCTATCTAAACGGGATCATTGTCATAGCTTATGAACATCTTTGCCGCCTCTGCTTCTATATAAAATGCAACAATATGGAGAATAGCCAATAGTGGGAGGCTGTTTTGCTACTATAAATTTCCTCTCCTTTTGCCTTTCTTACAGTTTCTAATTATACCTACTGGGCTTTGACCATCATGTAGCATTCCATATTATTTCCAAACTTATCTTTGGGCCCATGAGAAAATGAATGAATTTGTTTGATCACCCAGCATTGGTAATATGACAGTCACTTAGTAAACTTTGAAGCAGTAGAAAGAAGAAAATTGAAAATACATAATGCTGTTTTTAGGCCTGGTATGGTGGTGCATGCCTGGAATCCTTGCACTCAGGAAGCTGAGGCAGCAAGTTTGAGGCCAGCACAGGGCTACATAGTAAATTCAAAGCCAGCCTGAACTACATAGCAAGATCCTGTCTCAAAAAAACCCAGCTTTATCTATATATAGTAAGTTATACTTATACTGAACAATGTTTATCTAACCTGGAGACATTTGTTTGCTTTTCTCTAGCACTTTGTTAGCGAACGTAAATATGATGAGGATCTGGGACGAGTAGCTCGGTTCACCTGTGATGTGGAGACTCTGAAGAAGAGCATTGATTCCTTTGGACAAGGTGAGATGGTGAGAGATTCTGGGCCATGCATGCAGCCATCCACTGTTAATGAATGACTGATGTGCTGACTAGCCTGTCCTCTGAGCTCCTCAGGGCCTCTTGTCTGTTTTTATGAAAAGCAACTCTGAATGTACTTTGAACTCTGAGAATATTTACCAAGCTCCCTGTGTTATAAAATTCTCTTTTTCTAATTTTTAATTTTGAGAAAGACTCTTGCTAAGTTGCCCAGTCTCTGCTTGAACTTGGAATCTTCCGGCTTCAGCCTACCAGAGTGCTGAGATTATAGGCATGTAACACTGTACGTGGCTAGCTGTCCCTTAAATAATAGCATTAAAGATGGTAGGATATGGTGCCTTAGAGTGAGAATTTGTGGTCAGCCAGGCTTTGAACTCAGCTGCACTGTTCTGTCTCATATAAAAGTGAAACGTTGGTGCAAGAGCTACATAGCTCAGAGCATAGGCCTACGTATGTGAAGCCCTGGGTTAGATACCCACACTGCAAAAAAAAAAAAAAATTAAGTGAAATGTTAGCCTTAGGACCCTGATTGTAAACCTATCATTAGTCCAGGCTTGCAGCCAAGAAAAAAGTCTGGGGAGTAGTTTTAAACCGTTGAATTTTGACACTTGAATTGAAAATATTAGTATTTTTTAGTTAGATTGATATTTTGGGTTTAGGGTTATTTTTGCAGAAATTTGGCGAGATACACATCTGTTGTAAAGACTAGTACTATTCATATTAAACTGATCTTGATTATTTTTGCCTTGAATTATTCAAACTTTTAAAAAAGGTTTTAGGGCTGGGTATTTAGCTCAGCGGCATAGCGCCGTCCTGGCAAGTGCAAGGCCCTGAGTTTGGTTCCCGGTACCAAACAAGAAAAAAAAAACAAAGGATTTAGCAAAGACTTGACTTGTTTACCTTTTTCTTTCTTTGCGAAGTCTGCACTTTAGAATGTTCCTTGCATAGGAAACTGAACATATGGCCTGTACTATTGTTCCCAGGCTTATTTAGCTGCTGGAGCCAGAGCCGGGAGTTTAGGTGCTGTAGTAGGAAATGCCAAGAAGTCATTAATCAGTGGTGGTGGAAGGGGGAATGAGTAACTTGATTTTTAAATTGTCTCCCATCTAAGAATTCCTTTATAAAGCAGTGGGAGTTTGGAGACAGCGGAGGAAGAGAGCAGGAGGGAGATTTTCCTTACCCCATTTTACAGGTTTTTCTTTATAACTATTCAAGTAAACAATTCTTTATCTTAAATTGCACATTATGAAATGGGGAAAAAAAAAAGGGAAAACTTTATCCACTGTTCTCCCATCATATGACTGCATATTCCTCATGTTTCTGTTTCAGTGTCCCACCCAAAAAACAGCTATTCAACGAGATCCCGATATAGCTCAGTTATATCTGTGTCCTTGAGTGGCCCAAGTGATGCCTCTGCTGCTTCCTCTTCCACCTGTGCCTCTGGTCCCAGCCTTACAGGTGCTAACAAGAGAAATTCTGCACCAGGAGAAGCTCCCGCAGCTATAGCAAACTCCAGCAGCCGGCCCTGCCAGCCTCATCGGGAGGTAATCTGGCTTCCACACTGAACATATGAGAGAGAAAAGGCACCTGAGTGTCAAAGTTTAAATACTGATAGCTTGGTATTATCTTCCTCTCTTTATTCCTGTTCCATACCTATTTTGCATCCCTCTAGCACCAAGTAGTTCCTGAAAAAGCATTTGATATGATATTCCAAAGCACCAGACAGTTTAGACTTCCTGTAGCCAAGAACTGCTGATTTTTACATTGGCAGCAGTCTTCACTTTTACAAGTAGTATTGGTTGGTAATCAGTCACACTGGGAGTTATGTACCCATTTTAAGGTAGGCAAACACTGGAAGTGGCCAGTTTACCAGTGTGCATCTGAAAGCATAACTGCCTAGAAGTTCAGGGCAAATATGTCAGGGAAAGAGAAAGCGAACCTTGTAGCAGTGTGGAACAAACACTAGAAAGTGGAAGGATAATCTGTGATTTCTTTTCCTTGTTTTGGAGGAGAGTAATAGCATTCTAAGTCAGTGCTGTCAGTAATTCTTGAGGACTGGTTTGGCATTGGAAGTGGAGGACAAAAAAGAAATCCCATAGCCATATGTTTTTTGGATTGTGATGTGCACGTGTACTATATGTCACAGAAACATGATTTAACCTATGGGTCATTCAGTATAGCAAAGCAGACCATAATGATGCTTTATTATTCCAATGTTCCATTATCTTTACAAATGGCTTATAATCTACAAAATTCAGACATGTATATCTAACTAGGAGCTTGTAACAGCCCAAAAATTTTGCCTTCTTGTTAGCTTTCTTCCTATGCCTATCTAAAGAGAAATAAACTCCTCTTCAGTGGAGAAGAACCTAGGAATGAGGCCAGGGAAAGATTAGTAAAAAATGCATTAAGTGTGATAATAGTGTCTAGGTCAGATGGGCTGACAAAATTCTGAGTTCCAAACATGATAAACTAGCATTATGCTTTCAGAATGTCCATAAGCTAAACTGAGATCAAAGTGCCAGAGTACCCAGCTGTGAGTTTAGCTCAGTGGTGCTGCCGCCTGCCTCAAAAGTGCAAGGTCCCAGTTTGATCCCCGGTACCAAGAAGGGGAAAAAAAAAATGCCAGAGTACCTTGAACATTATGTTCTTTTATCCTTAGGTATTGCCGGGAAACAGACGAGGACAAGGCTATAGGCCACAAGGCCAAAAGTCCAATGACCCTACAAACCAAGGACGTCATGACAATGTGGGTCATTACAGAAATAGCTCATGGTATTCATCTGGTTCCAGGTATCACAGTGCTGCACCCCAGGCACCAGGAAACACTAGTGAACGGGGCCAGGCTCACTCTACAGGGACCAATGGAACTGGAGCCAGCATGGAGCCTAGTCTGTCTAAACCCTTATTCAGGAAGGGGCTCCCCCAGCGCAAACCCAGGACCTCTCAGCCCAAAGCTGTGAACTCATGAGAGAACTTGCAGTTGGCCTCGCTCCTCTGCCTCACACAATTCAAAATGATAACTGGACTTTAGGAAGCCTGTGTAGTTAGGTTTAATAACAAGTTTATGCATATCACTTTTTGTGCCATTCTAAATATTTTTGGTTTCTTCTGCCCTTATTTCTTCTTTATCGTTTTTGGAAGGGAAGGCATTTTTTTCCCTTGACCTTTCCCAATTATACAGACTGTTTCTGATGGGTCCTTCCTACCAGGAATCCGGCAGCTATTGCCAGGTTTCCCAACTTTGCAACATTGCACCAGGTCTTCCATCTGCCCAAAGAGGCCTCACCCAACAAGCCTCTGCTGCTGAGGCTGTCTCAGGAGGAGTGGGTCAGAAATAGACCTGTCACAATATAAGTAGAAGCCACAAATGCTTGCCAGGTTCCCTCTAAACAACATTGTGACAAAGAGAGGCAATGAGGGGATTGTATATTGTAGATTAGCCAGAAAAGAGAAATGTTAATTGGTGAAAAAGAGAACACTAGGGGGCTGGGGATTTAGCTCAGCAGTTCAGTGGCCTGCCTTGCAAGTGCCAAGGACCCGAGTTCAATCCCCGGTACCAAAAAAAAAAAAAAAAACACTAGGAAACATTGGAGAATCTGCCTGTGTCCTAGAATGTGTCTGAGATTTGACGCTTGAATCAGTTTCATAATTATGTTTGGCATCAAAACTTAACCTGCAGTTTCTTCAAAATGCCCAAAACCTTGTTTCCTGTTACATTATGCTGCAAACTACTCTTAAGGAAGTCTATAGGAAAGTAGCATTTAATTAAAGTTTTTTAAAAGTTATAAAAAATATATTTCTTTATTTCAATGTTTGGAGATTTTGTTGTTGTTTACCCCCTTACCTGAATCCTGTTCTCATCCTGAGCCAAATTTATAGCAATATAATTAACATTCATCTAAGATGTTACCCATCAAAACTTGCTGCAACCAATCTTTATAGATGAATAAATAAAAATAACTATAAATATTACCACATTTGTTTCACAGCAGCAAGTGACTTCATTATCTGTTTTTCTCTGGGCCTCATGAGGTAGAAGTCTCTCGGACAGCTTGTTCTGTGCCTAAATGAGGGTGTCTGATTCCCGAGTCATTTGTCCGCTGCTGCTTAGCTTCAGGACCAAATTAAAATGTGAAAGCTAGCATGAGCAAATGCAGCTGTTCATTGTGGGAAAAGATTTGTAGGGTAAAGAACGGTGACTTTGCAAAGGAGAACATACCAGTTTAGAAAAACCACAGCTGCTAACCATTCCTCCAGGCAGACAAAGATTATATTGGCACTCCTCTTCCCCATTTCTTGACAGAAGTAGTGAATGTAACAGTATAATTGAGCTCCTGCATGTAGCAGGTGGCACTGGTGCCAGACCCCTCCACCCCCCCATGTTCTGTGGTTTAATAACAGAGCTTTCCTTCTCCAGCATGTGTTCTCTCCAACCCAGACTGTAAGTGGCAGTGGCGCAGAACTTAACTGCCACAGGGCTTCCCCTGGCTGTGGCTAAAGCTGAGCTGCCAGGGTTCTGGTTGATTGGAGAGACAGACTGACTATGTGTCTGTCCTGTCTTTTGGTAAAGAAACCAGGTCTCAAGGAGTATTGGAAAAGCCACTTTCTAAGGAGCCATTTGTCTCATTTTGGAGAATTTGTCCAACACCATCAGCCTGCATAGGTGTCAGGAAAAAGCCCTGCTTTTCTGATACTTGCTTACTATACTTTATAGGAAATCCAGAGATTGAAGCAACCTTAAAGGATTAAGAGGTCTATCCCTGTATCCAGGCAAAACTATATTTAACCACCCAGCCAAATAGGGAGTCACATATTTGTCAAAACTGCCTGGAAGTAGAAATTAAAATCCTCTTAGAAAACTATTTCAAGTTTTTATGACCATAAAAACTGAAAATTATGCAGTTTTTTCACTATTTTGTTTTGAATTACAAAAGTAATATTTAAAATACCAAATAATTCCGAAATGTAAAAGGAAATTTTCCATCTTCCTGTTCCACTCCTCAGGAATAATGTGACTCAATAATTTAGTATATATCCTTCTAGACCTTTTTCAAAGTATAAATGTCATACACACAAATATATAGGTTTTTTGGATGGGGATTTAGCTCAGTGGTGCTTCCTCTTGCCTCACAAGTGCAAGGTCCTGAGTTCCATCTCTGGTACCATGTATGTATATACATACATACGTGTGTGTGTGTGTGTGTGTGTTTGAACTTCTTTTTTCCTTCCTTTTTGCAATCCTGCAGACTGAATCTCCAGGTGTTCTGTTTGTTTTGTTTGAGATAGGGTCTCTCACTGGCTTTGAAGTCACTGTGGAACCCAATCTGGCCTCAAACTCGTGATCTTCCTTCATGCTGGAATTACAGGTGTATATCATTCATGTCCTTCTCAAGGCTTTTTTTTAAATAGTATGTTCAAATTCATTCATTTACAATCTCATACTAGTTTGACTTTTTCTCTTAAGGCACAGGGGATTGAATGTCAGGTAGGCACTTTGCCACTGAGCTACCTCTGCAACTATTTGTTTTGTTTTGGTTTTGGTTTTTTGAGACAGGGTCTCACTATGTAGTTGAGACTGACCTGGAACTCACTATGTAGCCCAGGCTGGTCTTGAACTCACAGCCATCCTCCTGCCTCAGCCTCCTGAGTGCTGGGATTACAGGCATGCGCCACCATGCCCGGCTGGTGTTTTGTTACGTTTTGTTTCTTCTGCAACTATTTGGGGGCTTTTTTTTTTTTTTTTTTTGGAGATAGGGTCTTGCCAAGTTGCCTAGGGTAGGCTCAAACGTGTGACCTTCCTGTTTCAGTCTCCTGAGTACAGTACCTGGGACAGGTATGCACTACTACACCTGCCTTCAAACTTGACTTTTCTTCAATGAAGAGAAGACAGGTTTAAGTTTGAAGGACCAAGGATTTAGCTCATTGGTTCTGCCACCTGCCTCACAAGAACAAGGTCCCGAGTTTGATCCCCAGAACCAAGAAACAAAGAAAAAAAAAAAGCCCTATGTTTAGTTGCCCGCAATAGCTCTGAGCTTCCCAAAAGAAAGAAAGTTCCATATCCTGGGAAGCTAACACTAATTCTCAAATAGGACCTACCTAACCATTTTTCTTTAACTTTTCCATTTCACCTTATAGATAGCTGCCTAGAGATAGAAGTGGGACTTAAAAGTTATTCAGCTCTATCAGGTATAGCTACCTGATAGGTAAAATTGTAGCTCAGTGACAGAGTACTTGCCTTGCATGTACAAGACTCTGGGTTCAATCCCCAGCACTAGGGGGAAAACACATGGCTTTATTATGAACAGATATTTCCAGGGCCCCTAATTTATAGCCATTTTAAAGCTATAATACAGCATTGTTTGTTTTTAGTTTTTTTCCCAGTACCCAGGATCAAACTCAGGACCTTGTATTTGCAAGGCAGGCACAGTGCCACTGAGCTAAATCCCCTGCCCCATCAGCATAGCTTTTGGGTTGTTTGCTTATTTTTGGTATCAGGGATAAAACTGAGGACCTTGCGTTTGCGAGGCAGGTGGTGGCACCACTGAGCTAAATTCCTAGTGTGTGTGTGTGTGTGTGTGTGTGTGTTGGAGTTTTTTTGTTTGTTTTTGTTGTTGTTGTTGTTTGGTTTTTGTTTTGTAAGGAGAATTCAACTTGAGACCTTGCGCTTAAGCAGTAGCATAGTCTGTTTTTTTGTTTTGTTTTGGTTTGGTTTCAGTGAGGGTTTTTTTGTTTTGTGTTTGTTTTGTTTTGATTTTTTTTGGTACCAGGGATCAAACTCGGGACCCTGTGCTTGCAAGGCTGGTTGGGGAACCAACCAGTGAGCTAAATCCCCTGGCCCCATAGTTTTTTTAATAATACCCCTGGCTAGGGGTATGGCTCAGTGGTAGGCTTTGGGTTCAATACTCAGTATTAAAAAAAAAATACATGGAAGAAAGTAAAAAGTCCTTCCCTACTTTTCCCTGTTCCCTAAAAGAAATCGCTGGCAAGTTCCCTACATACTGTTTCAGAAATTTTTAAACCCAAGCATGAAAATATATGTTTTTCTCTTTATATAAATGGAGACTTCCTGTGCATACAACTTGCTTTTTTCTTTCTTTCTTTTCTTTTTCTTTTTCCCTTTGGTACCAGGGATTGAACTCAACCTTGTGCTTTTGAGGTAGGTGCTGTGCCACTGAGCCAAATCCCTGGCACTGTTTTTGTTTTTTTTATTTGTTTGTTTCATTGTTTTTGAGACAAGATCTCACTGTGTATTCCAGGCTGGCCTCAAATTCATGGCAGTCCTCCTGCCTTAGTCTCCTGGGTGCTGAGAACTTTTTCTTTTAATTATTATATGCAAATAGTTGTTTAAAAAAGGAAATTAAATAATTTAAAAGGATATGATGAAAAGTAGACTTCTGTAGTACTCTGGGCTATTTGTCCCCTACCAGGGGTGACCACTGATAAGTGACTTTTTTCTTTTTAATTTGTTCTCTTCAAATTTTGTTTTGTTTTCTTTTTTTTCTTTCTTTTTTTTTAATTGTTAAGTTTCTCTTAAGTGCCTCTGGAGATTTCCTATGCTAGTATAAGTATATCATAAAAATATGTACCCCTTAGACTTTCCATGTTGATACCTATAGACATATCTATTCTCTCCATTCTGTTCTAATGAAGAGTACACATATCATTCCTTACTTGTGAGAGAATATCTGTAGGGTAAATTCCTAGTAGTAGAATGCCTTTGAATTCTGAGGCCAAGCTAAATGGTTCTAGTTTTTTTATTTGTTTGTTTTGGTTTTTTGAGACAGCGTCTCACTGTGTAGTTCAGGCTGCTGAACTCACTGTGTATCTCTGGCTGGTCTAGAACTCATTGCAATCCTCCTACCTCAGCCTCCCAAGTGCTGGGATTACAGGAGTGCACCACCATGCCCAGTGAAATGGTTCTAGTTTTTCCCTCAACCACAGAAGCCTTGTCTGGTGGCCAGGGCTTGGATTTTAATTTTATGCGACCAGCTGACCTTGAGGCAAATAACATCACATCTTTGAACCTATTCTGAGTGGTAGAGACCAGAGGAAATACTTTAGTAGTATCTGGCTAGATGCTTCAGAGCAGTACTCTTGGTGTCTAAGCCTGTGACTAGTGAATATTCACTTACCTGTCCTTTGCTTCTGTCTCTTCTGCACTGTTAAAAAGCTTTGGAAAGAAGGCTTCCTCAGTCTCTAGCCTTAATAGACCTTATTTGTCAAAGAAGAAATCAGAAATATAGTTATCTTCTTCCATCTGTAGCTTTTCTCCTGAAGTACATATCTCTTCAGCATGGTGGCCCCATGTCCTTGTCTCTCTGCCCTGCCCATTGGGAAACCTCACCCAGTTGCAGAGCTTTATGGGTGGGGCAGCCTGGGTGTTGATGGAGCTGACCTCAGCAGTTGTGCAACACCAGTCTGCAGGAATGATGCTAGAGCCACAGCTCTCCGGGGGAAAAGTCAAGGAACCTTTCCATACAGGTGATGAGGGCACTGTACCTGCCTTGATGCTCCACACCAAGGAGGAAAGCCTATCTGAAGCTGTTTGTGGGTGAGGAAACACCATCACCAGCATGACTGTTCTGCCCGCCTGCCCCTTTGATGCCGTCAAAACATCAGGAACAAAAACCACCCACTTCTGATTCCTCCAGAAAAAGGCAGGTCTCCTTTTATGACTCTCCAAATTAACCCAGTTAAGCTCTCTCTACAACTTGATTTTAAATAAACCTGTTTTCTGGTGCTACTAGAACATACAGATTGATAAGGTAAGATTTCTTAGGAGGTCCAAAACCTGTCCCTTGTCAGCTTCTGCTTTCACTGAGGTACTGTGGTGAAGGGTATTGTCTCCCTGCAGGGGAAGTCCAGGTTCTTCTTCACAGTGGATGCTCACTGCAGATCACTGTCTGACCACCCACCAAGTGAGTGGGTGTTCCTTTTTTTTTTGGTACAGGGGGATTGGACTCAGAATCTTGCACTTGCAAGGCAGGCTTGGTGCCACTGAGCTAAATCCCCAGCCTCTTTGTTCCCCTTTGAGAAGCCATTTACCTAAGGACAGTACAGCACTCCTGGAACATGGCAGCAGAGCAAACTGCTTTCACCCTGATTAACTCTGGGTTTTGGACCTGGTTTCTCTACTTCCTAGCCATGCAGTATGTAAGTCTGTCTGGCTATATGTAAAACTGTATACCTCCCAGGATTTCCTTGTTTGAAAGTTTACTGTGGTCCCCCTCACATTTTAGCTAGAGAATGAGACAGCCAAGGGGTGGCCAAAAACTGAGTAGTCTTAAGGAATTCCCAAATGTTTTTTGTTCTGTTTGGTTTGGTTTGGTTTTTTGAGACAGGGTCTCACTATGTAGTTGAGACTGACCCGGAACTCACTATGTAGCCCAGCCTGGTCTCAAACTCAAAGCCATCCTCCTGCCTCAGCCTCCTGAGTGCTGGGATTACAGGCGTGCGCCACCACACCTGACTCAGAAATTCCCAAATGCTTTGATGGGGATGAGGAATCTTCTGGGAGGCTTCATCCTGAGCTCATTTCCCTGGTCCCAGCACACAGGGCCAGGGAGACTTTGTAATAACAGTTGCTAATAAGATTGATGTCACAAATGAAAGAATTAATGCACTTCAAGATACAATATTCTCACCAGGCATGGTGGTGTATGCCTGTAATCCCAGCACTCCAGAGGCTGAGGCAGGAGGATCACTGTGAGTTCAAGACCAACCTGGGCTACATAGTTCCAGGGCAGTCTGAGCTACATAGTGAGACCCTGTCTCCAAAAAAAAAAAAAAAATCTCACTCCACCCAGGGTTACACTGGTT